TATATATATATATATATATATATATTATATTTTCGAATAGCCGAAGCGGAGCGTATCCCAAGCGTAACCATAAATAAATCGATTTGGAGATATTTCGTGGGAATCACTCCCTCATCTGATTCCGAAATGCTGAGAAGAAAACCCACCAAAATCCAAGTCGCCATTGAGGACCGTGAAGAGCTCGAACAGGCCCGGGAACAGCCTCCCTCATCCGCAGCTGCCGCAGCCGCATCCTCCGCTTCTTCATCCCTCCTCCGCCGCATCGACCCACAACACTACAACCCTTCATCCAAATCCGACCGAATCGGCCTTTCCTCCTCCTCCTCCTCCGCCTCCTGATCCTGGGATCCGCCATGGAAATCGAGGTCAAGCTCCGCCTCCTCACCGCCGCAGCCCATCTCCGCCTCACCACCATCCTCGCTCCCTTTCACCTCAAAACCCTCCATCAACGCAACCTCTTCTTCGACACTCCTCGCAACGATCTCTCCACTCGCCGCGCCGTCCTCCGCCTCCGTTTCTTCCAGAACGGTGTCACGGCGGCGTCGGCGACTGATCCGCCGCGTTGTGTCGTATCCCTGAAGGCGAAACCAACGCTGGTTAATGGGATCAGCCGGGTCGAAGAAGATGAAGAGGAGATCGACCATGGCTTAGCGAAAGAATGCGTGGATTCGCCGTCGAAGCTTTCTTCTCTGGAATCTAGGGTTCTGAAAAGGGTGAGAGAAGAATTTGGGCTTAATGATTTTCTAGGGTTTGTTTGTTTGGGTGGGTTCGATAACGTTAGATCAGTGTACGAATGGAGAGGTGTGAAACTTGAGGTTGATGAGACGAAGTACGAGTTTGGGAATTGCTATGAGATTGAATGCGAAACTGGAGAACCAGAGAGAGTCAAGACGATGATCGAAGACTTACTTAGAGAGAACGACGTTGAATTCTCCGATTCAAACATGACAAAGTTTGCTGTTTTCCGGTCGGGGAAGCTTCCTTAACCCGGGTTAGTCTCTGTTAATCTCCTCTTTACAGCATTGTTTCCGATTATGCGTTGTATATGCACTCAGAAAACTGTTAATTTTGTCAAGTTTGGTGCCATGGATGGAATGGGTGTTTGCTGGTTTGTTCTGTTGATTGGATTTGTCATTAAAAAAAGGCCCTGAATGTGTTCTTCCCTCTTGAAGGAATACTGTTACTTTCTCTGAAGAATTTTTTGTCTTTGAACTTTGAAGTATGTTAAAGATCATCTGGTGCAGATGATATGTCTATGTAATGTTTATTTGGTAAAGAGATCGGCTGAGGCAAAGGATTAGGGTCAGTGCAGTGCAGACATTTTGTTTACGTAATATTTCGCTAGTCAGTAGATGGATCGAGGCAAAGGAGGCTCAAGACAAAAAGGGTATCTTCTAACAAACCTGTCCTTTTTGTTGCAATTTATTGAAATCCCGTATTCGGGAATCGGGATTGATCTCTGCTTGATCAATTCAGGCAATATGTTTAGCGAGTCAGTAGATGGATTGAGGCTAAAGGTAAGAGTCGGTGCAGATGATTTTGTCTGTGTATTGTTTCGCTTGTCTATAGATGGGTCTGGTACTCTGGTGATGGTTGTTCATTATGTATTTGAATTTGAAGAGGTATCTATCTGGCTTTGAAATATTTCGTATTTAAACTAAATTGTTTCCCTTTCTGCAAGTATTTGGCGTTAAAGTATATCACAAGGTTGTTCGGGTTGGACTGTTTCTTTCATACGATAGTTCACTAGCAAGATTGCTCGAGGCAATGGATCGGATCAGGACAGTTCTATGCAGTTATTGCTTGTTAATCTGTTTGCTAGTTGTAATGGAAACCATGTTTTTGCCTCATCCTACGTACTTGTTCTACGATCCTACTGCTGCATTTACATGACCTCTAGGATTGGATTCTGAATAGCTTATGATAGAAATACCGAGTTTTAATTCTTGTATCAACTTGTGCATAATGTAGCGATAAACACCATAACTGGTAGATGCATTTCTTTCTTGTTCTTTGGTCTAAATGCAATGGGAGATTTGTAAGTATAGCATTTTTGTTGTTGAACTTTCCCTGGAAAAATTAATATGCGCATGAGCATTCTTGCACTTTTTCTTATGGAAGCAAAGAGAGTTGGAACATTCTTTGCTATGCCTAAACCCTTTTAAAACCCTATCCATCCGTACTGCTTGCTGAAGTGTTTCTTGTTATGGATATATGCTTACGAGAAGATTCTGCAACGAATTTGCTATCCTAACTTGTATAAGTAGAGATTAATAATGGGTTTATAAGATCAGGGGTCCATAAGTTTCTTTCTTTTCGTATGATTTAACTAACTCTAATGCCCGTTGAACAGGTTCGGTTTTCAAGAATCGGTTCAGTTCAGTTCTCTGGTCATCGGGTGGAAGAAGCAAGCAGCTCAAGTTGTTACTTAGACTAGACCTGTGAGGATAAATCTGCTGTAACTTTGAGATCATCTCTTGGATTCATACATTTCAATGGTAGGGTTATGCTACATTTCGTGTGTTTTTTTTTTTTTGTTCTTCTTCCTGGAAAATGCTGCTCCGTTTTCGTTCCATGTTATGTCTTTAAGAATACCCCCCAAAGTGTAATATTATTGCTTTCTCGTGAATCATAAGGGTTGGCAAATTTATCTTCTTTTTTTTTTTTCTCGATATCTAACAGTGATTTGTTGGTCTGATGCCCGATTTCGACAGCAAGTGCAAGATCGGGTTTGAGTGGTGAGGTATCCTTCGGCATTGGTCTGAGTTCATTTTCACCGTTTTCCTCTTCGAATACCTGTCCGATTATATGGTTTTGTTGAAAAGAACAACATTTGCACTTCGGTAAGATATATATAAAAAAAGCTATATTTTTATTTATTTATAATATAATTAAAATATATTTTCGAATTAAGTTCAAAATAAATGCAGTATCTCTGTAGATATTAGATCGAATTTCTGCAGTTCATTTGCATTTATGATTAATTTGATATTTCCAATTGATATCTTTTAAAATCTAAGGATTTAGTTTTGTTGTTTTTTACTAAATAACTAGGAAACAGAATCTAAAAAACCATGAAGAAAAATTACATAACAACAATGGAAACAACACAATAACTCGCGAAGAAGAGGACAACGACAGCTGACGAAGCTAAGTTTCCTACACTAATGACTTCAAATACCCATATGATTCTCTCTAACCATCCAATGTCCGAAAGTTTAGAGAGAGAGAGAGAGAAAAAAAGACTGTCTGAAAACCCTAAACATCCCCAAGACCCAATCTTCATTTTCCTCTCTTCTCATCGTCACCTCACTTCCTCTTCTTCGACGGTGGCTGACGAACATCTTCCTCGTCCTCGTCCTCGTCCTCATCCTCATCCTCATCATTGTCATCATCATCGTCGTCATCGTCGTCATTGTCATCACCATCATCATCATCATCATTGTCATCATCACCGCTTCCTCCCTCCCCATTGGCCTCTGGATTGTCCTCGGGGTCAGCTTCTTCCCCTTCGTCCCCCGAGAAATCCTCATCACCTGCATCATCGTCATCATCGTCGTCGTCGTCATCAGCACCTTCCTCATCATCATCATCGTCCTCAGTTTCACTGCCATCTTTGTTTTCCTCGCTATGGCATTCCTTCTTGTAAAGCTCCTCAAACGGAAATCTACAGAGAGATAAGATCAGATTGACGAGATCAGGTACAACTCTTGTTCCGTGGACGATAGATGAAAACGGGGATTTGGAGGCACTGAATTTTTTTACCTCTGTTCTACCGTGGTAAAACCAGTCAGCAAAGATCCTGCCTGTGATCACACAAGAACAAATGTAAATGGAGGATTCATTCCACACAAAGTGCAAATGATGAAACAACAGTGAAAAATAATCAGATTGAGATATTTAACCGTCAAAATATACAGAGGTGAGATCGAAACGGATTAAAACAGGATGGTTAAACTAAAAAATGTAATAACCCCACCGCTGCGATTTATTCAATGAAACATGTAGCAGGGAAACTTTGCCCGAAGAGGACATAAAGCATAAAAGGATATATAGCACAGGCAATACCAGAGACGCATTCACATAGCAAGAAAAACCGGGTCGAACTCCAATTGTTTGAAAGCAGAGAACTGACAATTATGACTGATCTTCTTGTAGTATGGAATAATCCCAAAGCAATAACAGGTAACAACAAAGCCAGATAGAATATAAACGCCCAAATCTCAAGACAATTTAATTTGCTACAGAAACAAATTCAGTCCCAGACAGTACGAACTCACAACCAAGAAAGACATGAACTGATTGACAAAAGCTAGCCAGAGATAGAAGGCAGAAAAGCTTGCAGCGAAGATGGTCAATGTGTGAACCATGAGGTAGAACTATTTCAAAACTATTTAGAATTTCATTTTTGCAAAAGATCAGGCTTGTCATAGAAGACGATATATATACAACGGGAATCAACCGAACCAGAGAGAATATCACTGAAACACAGAGATGAACACGTGGAACCTCATCCCTCATTGCAGTCAGAGTTGGAAGTTCACATACAAATCAAAACATAACCGATTTCAAATTGAAAACAATGATACAAAGACACAAATCTTAAGCCAAGAAATCATCCCTATGAATTCAAAGTGAAGTAACGATGCAATTCCCGACAAAGAGTGGACCCAACACAAAACCAATGAACTTTTTGTGATATTGATGCCAGAGCCAACTCCACGATGAGAGACCTCGAGTTAGATTCGATAAACAGATGGTTCCAACAAACAAGGCAAGACAAAAACCCTAAATTTCTTTCAAATCACTATGGTAACCACAAAGGCAATGCCCTAATAGGCTAAAGAGAAACAAGAAGTTATATAAACGAAGAACAAACGAGAAATCTCCAATTTCAAAAAAGCTAGAATTTGATGGGAAGTGTTCGATACCACGAGGAGCAGACAAGCTACGGTTCTTCCGACAATGAGAACCGTATCAGCAACCATGGCTTCGGTTATAGAACAAGCCCATATCTGCTTCTGCTTCTGCTTCTGCTTCTTTTCCAGCGAGCTGACGACAGCGACCTCCATATCTACTAAAGAAAAAAACCTAAAAATCTACAAAACAAAACCGAGAGACAAAAACCCTAGTTCCAAGATGGAAATTCAAAGAGAACAACAGTCAGAGAGCGAGAGAGAGTGAGGAAATAACCTGATAGGCCTGTCGGTCTGGATCCGGTCAAAAGGGTAAACCCTAGGATTGGTCCGATTAGGGTTTTCGTTGTGAAATTTAATGCCGACAGACTAGGTTTTGCTATATCCAGAAGGGAAAGGTGGACTTTTACTGGCCAAAGTGAATTTGACGGGGTGTGGAAGAAGTAAAACAAATGAGTGGCAAATTTAGTATTTTTAATTTCCTCTTTTTGACCTTTTCTGATTTCTTTTTATTTTTCTCCCCCAACACATAGTATTAAAAATAATAATAAGTCCTTGTGTTAATTCAAAATGTAGAATGCATATTTGGGAATCATTTGGTTTTTAATTTAATTCGATATTTTTTATTTACAAAAAAGTATATCTATTCAATTTTGTATTTAATTTCGGTTAGATTTAGATTAATTTCAAATTTAATTTAAGGAAATATATTTGTTTTTTATACAAAATTTCTATTACTTTGCATTTGATGGAGTGTAGATCATTTTACAATGTTTAATTAGGATATGATTAAATAATATAAATTTTAATAATAATAATAATAACAACATATTTTTATTTGAATATCGCGTAAACAAACAAGGAATAAAAATCATAATAATCATGTAATTTGTATAACTTTAATTAGTTCTATTTGTACATTTTATTAAAAAAAAAACTTTAATTAGTTCGCAATGTGATTTGATTAGCTGGATGAACACAATTTGGATTACGACAAGTTCATTATCTTAATTTGTTTTTATTAAATACGCACTACAATTGTATTTTTGCTTCTAATTTCAATCATATGATTATATATTTATAATTAAGTGTACTTAAAAAAGAGAGAGAGAGAGAGACAAAACCACTGCCTATTGTCTAGGTTCATCGAACCAATATTTCGCGTGTTTATGTGTACATATAGTTTATATGTTCATCGACAAATATTTTTAACATGTAAGATGTCGCAAATTGAAGGTGGCTTCCATGGAAAAGAAAATTCGCATAGTTTCTTATTTTCTATAACGAGAAGAAAAGAGACAAGTGCGGCAATAATACGAATGTAATGCAGACGTATTTATATTAAGATATCAATACGATATCTTGCATATAACAAAGCAAACAAAAATAACTTTAAATGAACCGCACGTTATTGATCTTCGACGTATTATTTTACCAAGTAAATGTATAATCACCCAACAGACGAGTGGTCAGCATTGGATGTAAAACATTCAGAGGTTGGCGGTTCGATTCCTGGTTTTTATATGGTCTACCCCGTTCTTCTGAGAAATGTAGTTGGACCAAAGATACGGTGAATTTCCGGATTAACCAACAAAAAAAGTAAATGTATAATCGTCTCTAAATAAATAACCTTGCATATAGTAAAGACGGACATTTCGTGTTTAATAATTATATTTGGTACTGTTTACTTGCTTTGCTTAATTATTTATTTTAAAATATTATATAAATTGGAATTTTATTTAGATTGTATTTGAATATTATTTTTTGTTCTAAATCTATTTATTTCTTAAAAAGTTCTACCTTATTTTTAATTTAAATTCTATTATTATACTATAAAAATAAATTTAATTAAAATTTAAATATATGATATATTAATTAGTTCATTTAAAATTTATAATTATAAGCAAATTTACAAGAAGAGAGAGATAATGCAGAGCTAATATGACTTGAAAATATTTTTATATATAAAAACTCTGTCACACCCAACAATTCTTTTAAACAAAAACAGTGATTTTCAAGCTTAGGCTTTTGTGACACGTGACAACAAGTCATGTTAGGAAATATCATAAGAATCACACTTTTAATTAATTATAATAAGACAAATTAAATTCTTATTATTTTTATAAAAGCTTATTCGTGACGGAATAAACCGAGAATTATTTTCCACCAGAATATGGAATTATGATTATTATTTATAAAAACGTGGATTAGTTGGTGGTGTCACTGTCACATTAAATAAGACTAAAAAGGAAGCATCTTTTCAAAAGAAGGGAAGTTCTTTGGGAATGAGGAAACAGAAAACAAATAAAGGAATAAGAAGGAAGAAGAAGAAGAAATCATCAAAAGGTGAAAAATTGTTTGGATATTATGAAAATGCCGACGTTTCGCGGAAGAGAGGCGCGTGCGCGTCAGGTGAGGTCTCAAATCAGATATAAAAGCCCGAAATCGTCTTCTCAACGTCGTCGTCATCCATTGGTTCTCCACCTCTCTCTCTCTCTCTCTCTCTCTCTCTCTCTCACACACACACACACACACAATCAGAGTAGAGAAACATTGAACACTGAAAACACACACACAGACACAAAACAAAAACGAAGAAACAGAAGAAACCAGAGACATTATGTTGCTTTGCAGACCCAAAAGTGTATTTTTGCTTCTGGGTTTTCTTTTTTCTTTCCTTTTGATTATCTTTCAGACCACTGGAACATCAACTTCAGGTAAGAGAGTCAGATTATATTGTGATGCTCTGTTTCTTCTTTTTTCGTGTTTGGGTGTATCGTCCCAAGTTGTTTGTCTTCTGTGGTTCATTTTTTCCCTGGATATGTTTGTGTTTCTTTAGGTTAAAGTTGTTTTTCCTCTTCTTGTTCTTAGAATGGTTGTTGATTGGTTCCTCTATGATCAAGATTGGAGACTTTAATCCGAAATATGCTCTGTTTTGGCGAAGAAAATTGAAAACCCATTGCTTTTCTGTTTACTATGAATGATTTTAGGGATCGGTAAAGGAGAAGATGGAGTAGCTCAATGGAGGAAAGATATCACAGAGAGGGTTCTCGCAGAGGCAACTGGAGATAATGCATCTCTGATTTTGGCTGCAAAAAGGACCAGAAGACAAGACCCTCTTGAGAATTTCAAATATTACAATGGCGGATGGAACATTAGCAATAAACACTACTGGGCCGTGAGTGATTTCCTATGATTTTGCTGCTGAGGGATTATCTTGCAATTAGTTTTCCTTTGATGGGCTTGTTTATCTTCATCCGGGTTCCACTTGGATTCTTAGTTTCCTAATCGAAATTTCAATTGAAAACTTTGGCAGAGTAGAATTTTGACTATTTCAGGTTGAAACTGCATTTGAAACCTTTCCACTAATGAGCCTTGACTTGATTTGAGTTGAGACTTCTCGAAACTAACGATTGAAAGATGTTTGGTTGGTTCCTTCTTTTGTTCTCAAGTTTTTGTCATTGTGTATAAATCCTGAAGGGTTTTTGAATGACATCTGAGATAAATATCTGGTCCCCTGTTGCTGGATTATGCTCTAGTTGCCTGATTTTTTTCTGAGAAATTTCCGAGCTTTGGCCCTGATTCTATCTGACATATCATCTTTAATCATTTGTTTGTGATCCAGTCTGTCAGTTTTACAGCGGCGCCATTCTTAATCGTGGGAGCTGTCTGGTTCGTGCTTTTCGGGCTGTGTCTGTGCCTGATCTGCCTAAGTTATTGCTGCTGTCCCCGCGAGCCTTATGGCTACTCCCGGATTGCTTATGCCCTCTCCCTTATTCTCCTCATTCTCTTCACCATCGCCGCCATGTAAATTGTTCTCTGTCCCTTGTTCCTTCCTCGGATTTGTGGCATTTGATTGTTAGATCATTACAGGTTTTATGAAAAACCCGTTTGCTTTGCATAATTGACACAAAAATAGATCAGAAAACTCGCCTTGATCCATCAAAGGTTATTGCTGAATTGTTATTCTTTGATATGTTTTCCAGTGTTGGCTGTGTTTTCCTGTACACGGGCCAAGGGAAATTTCACGCTAGTACAACCGATACGTTGGATTATGTCGTGAGGCAAGCGAACCTCACGTCAGAAAACCTCAGGAATGTGTCAGATTATCTCAGCGCGGCTAAAAAGGTCGATGTGGAATCGACTTTTTTGCCGGCCGGTGTTCAAGAAAGCATCGACAGAATACAGGGAAAGATCAATTCTTCCGCCACAGCGCTTTCTGACAAAACCATGGAGAATCAAGACAAGATCCAAACCGCCTTGGATAACATGTAAAAAAACCAGACACATCTCTGTTATCTTTAACGTGTTTTTTTTTTCATCCTTAGTTCCGGAAGACTCCTCTACTTGGGCTTATGGTTTTCGTCTTCCGAATGGCAGGAGACTCGCTCTCGTCATTATCGCCGCTGTTATGCTCCTCCTTGCGTTTATCGGATTCGGTAATTCATCTCTTTCTCTTCTCTATGCCTTCGAAATTCTCGAAAGATTAGTGTTTTTTTTCCCCATGATTCTCATCTCATTGTGATTTTTCCTGCAGTATTATCTATCTTCGGATTGCAGTGCCTCGTATACACGTAAGCGGATTATTTATATTTATATCGTTGCGTCGATTATTGAAATTTTGAATCGGTTAGCCCGCTTGTTGATTTGATAAATCTCATAAAACAAATTGCAGATTGGTGATTGTCGGATGGATTCTTGTTACCGGTACCTTCATCTTGTGTGGTGTATTCCTTCTCCTCCATAAGTGAGTTTCAATGTCTTGCAACACTTTTATTGATGCATTTCATTTTTTCGGTTTTAGAAAAACTATATCCCTTTGTGTTTTTTATATTAAACACACCCATCGTCTACGTGCCAGTGTCGTTGCGGATACATGCGTTGCAATGGACCAGTGGGTCCGGCACCCGACGGCTCACACGGCTCTGGACGATATTCTTCCGTGCGTGGATAACGCCACCGCGAAAGAGACGTTGGATCGGACGAGGCTCGTGACATACCAACTGATTAACCTCGTAGACACTGCCATTACCACTGTCTCCAACGGGAACTTCCCGCCCCAAGCCCGACCCTTATACTTCAACCAGTCGGGTCCTCTCATGCCGATCCTCTGTAACCCGTTCAACTCCGATCTCTCCGACAGGATGTGTCAGCCTGGTGAGCTCGGTCTGAACAACGCCACCGAGGTGACCTCAAAGATTCACTCTCTTATCGTAAATTCTAGGTGTGGACGCTTAAATACCCGGCCGCGGGTATCCGATCGATTTTCGAGTATTTGGCTCTCATACCGAATTTTCGGTTTGGATCTTGATTTTGTTTCTCCAGGTATGGAAGAACTACACTTGCCAGATTACAACACCAGAAATGTGCGCTACAACGGGCCGTGTGACCCCGAAGTTCTACAACCAAATGGCCGCAGCGGTCAACATAAGCTACGGATTATACCGTTACGGACCGTTCTTGGCGGATTTGCAAGACTGTGACTTTGTGAGATCGGCGTTTACCGAGATACACAACGATCATTGCCCGGGTCTGTGGAAATACACGCTGTGGATCTACGTCGGTCTCGTTCTTGTTTCCGCAGCCGTGATGCTCTCTCTTGTTTTCTGGGTCATCTATGCCCGCGAAAGGAGGCACCGGGTTTACACGAAGGATTTCAACGCTCAGCATCCGCATGATGTCCGAGAGAAGTGACCGTACGAGATGTCGGATAAGGGGTTTGGGTTTCGTGGTTTGGGGTTTTTCGGGTTAGCGTTTTGCTTCAATAACAGCTTTCATCTACAGTGCTTTCTTTTGTTTCATCTCTGTTTCTGCCTTATTTCGGCTTTTGGTACATTTCTTCGAAGATGGGTTATTTGTCAAGCTCAAAAATCGACCGTTAGGTGGTCAACGTTAGCGTTGAATGGTCGTTCTAGTTTGGGCTTTTAGGCCCAATTACTCGACCCATTTTACAACGTTCATTTTTAGAATTTTAAATAATTTAAAATCGACCGACATTCTCTCCATTTTAAAAAGCAAGCCTCTTCATCTCTATTCTCTGCATCTCCTCTCATCTCTCTCGCTCTCTTCATCTCTCTCCCTCGAGCTCTCGCTCTCTCCCTCCCTCGCTCTCGCTCTCGCTCTCTCCCTCTCTCTCTTCTTGCTTCGGAACTTGGCTCTTATTCTTTTCCGGCATCTCTTGGGCTTTCTCTTCCCTCTGTGGTCGCCTTGCTAGGTCAGCGGCTTGGATCAATCAACCAGTCAAGACGAAGAAGAAGAAGATTACGAGAACTATGAAAACTATGGTCTTATTCTTTCTACAATTACCTCAAGAACGGGTTCATACCCGAGTACGCTACTCGTGGCCAGTATAGAGCCTGGGGTTTTCTTCAAGGCATTTATTTCCTGTCCTGAGCAAGCCTCTTTCATTCTAAAGGTGATCTTGCATCTCTTCCGGAAGGTCGCTTGCAATTGTACTTTCTTTTTCTCGGTTCTTGATTAAGAGGACAAACCATAAATTTCGAATTTCAAACTTTAGGGTTTTCTTTTTCCTCCTCCATCATCTTCTATTTCTGCAGGAACAAGGCGGAATTGCCTGACCACCAAAACTCCGCCGAGCGGTTGGGGTTTCTATGCATTGGTAAGTCATCAAAACGCAGTATTTCCGCTTCTTGTTTGTTTCGTTTCATCTTACGAAATCATCACTTGTCAGGCTAATTGTTACTGGTTTAATGATAAAACAGTTTACTCTTACTTTGTTTTCTGTTCTCTCTTTGGCTCTTAGGATTGCGAAGACATGTGTCGTCTAGTATGGTTCGAGGAGAAATCGCAGGCAAACATTGGCGTACTGGTGATGTACTGGTGATGTATGCGATCTATTAATATATTTCTTTTCATTTGTTGTAGCGTATATGCATCTCCCTGCAAATGCGAATTCTCTGTTTCAGAGGTACGTTTCTCAGGTGAGACATGTGAACCGTCAAGGGCCAAGCACTGAAACATATGGTGTAATGACTAAGCATCTCTTTCAGTTTCGGGCATGACACAATTCTGCAAACTCATTTGGGCTTACAACCCAAAGAGAAAAGGTGCATACCATGCTTAATTTGAGCATATTATGTGACTCTGCTTTAGGGTGGGAGTCCTTTTAACGCATTCAATTTTGGGTTTCGTTTCAGCAATGTTCTTGGTGTCTGCATCAGATTCTAACACCAGCCACCAAACGACAAACATATGAAGAATGGTGTTTTACTTCATGGACACGCCAAAAAGGTAAGTAGAACCTCATCATCATCATCATCATCATTGTCATCTTTAGCATACATCATTAACATTGCGTTTGCGTTATCATCATCATCATCTTCATTAGCATCTGCATCATAAACATGGGATTTGCATTTGCATTTGCATCATAACTTCGTCATCATTAGCATTTGCGTAATCACATGACGTCACATCAGAATTACACCATACACATAACATCCATTATCTCATACATCAAAATCATCACCTTATGTTACTACACATCAAATCATATCAATGTCACCATAAAACGCATAACAACACGTCATCTCATATCAAAATCATCTCCACAATGTAACAACACATCAAATCATCTCAAAAGCATCACAAAACGCTTAATAACACATCATCTCATACATCAAAATCTTCACCATATGTGTAACAACACATTAAATCATATCACAAAAACCATAGCAACACATCTTCTCATATGTCAAAATCATCATCATATGGATAACAACACATCACATCATATCCAAATCATCACCATACGCATAACAACACATCATCTCATATGTCAAAATGTTCACCATATACATAACAACACATCAAATCATATCAAAATCATCGCCATATGCATCATAACTTCATTGCATCATCATTTGCGTATTCATCATAACGTAATTGCATATGCCTCATACTATCATCACATCATATTTGCATATGCATCATAACATTGTCATTTGCATATGCATCATAACATCATCACATCGTATTTGCATATGCATCATCACATTATCTCATCATCATTTACATATGCATCTTAATATCATCGCATGATATTTGCATATGCATCAGCATCATAACATCAAAGGACAAGATATAACATCATTTGCATATGCATCATAATAATTTATCCATCATTCTTCCTCTCACTGCAACGTCTCAAACAACGAGAGACCATCGTTAGAAGAGCCTGTGGGGGCGTTGTGTCGTTGCGTTGACACCATGCCATACCTATATCCTTTGGAATTTTCTTGATATTTTGCATACTGACCTTTAGTTGATTATGTAGCCTATATCTTGATTTTTGTGTGATGGAGATAGATCTTAGGGACGATTTTTTTTGTTGGAGTGGCTTATGTTCGATTTTCTTCATCAGATCATAATTGTCTAGTCAGGTCAGTCATGGTTGTTCCTTTCGCTCCCCTTGACATAAATTTCGCTGATTTGTATTTTATTACTTTCGTGGAAGCAGTTTATTATTGTGCAATCATATTTGTTTTTGAAGTGTAATGATTTTATGATAATGCTACTTTTTGTAACTTTTCTTTTTTCAATGTTTTCTACAGCCAAGTAGACAAGTGTTAAGATAAGAAAGTTGTGTTCAATATTTTTGCTATGCAAAAATTTCTTAATGTAGCTTTTCCATCTGGATAAGAATAATAGTGGTATGTTTTTTGTTGTTTTACTTTTATTTGTTTGCTCAATAACTCACCAACGACATCTCTATTTCACAAATATTTCTTTGGGTTGCTTTTCCCAACAAAAAAACTATGTTAGTTGCAGGATTCCTTTTTTGTAGTTTTCTTTAAATGATATGGTACATTTCTATCTCCATTAAATGTGTATATATTTCTTTTTGCTTAGGCAGCCCATAATACTTAGATTCAGTTGAAGAACAACGTGGAGCTATTTGACTAACTCAAAGCAGACAACGCCTCAACAAGTGTCTTGGTGATCAAATTGGTACATGAAATATGGCTGGTAGGAGTAGGACGGCAAACCTCAGACCTTGACTTCGATTTTATGTGGTATGAAATCCTCAGACCTTGACTTCGATCATAGATTCATATGAGGCAGCTTTCACATTGTAAGAGATAACAAGTTTGTTAGTTGTTACACTTGATAGAAAAAATTTTGGAATGGTCCATTTAGAACTTTTTCTACTACATCTACTGTGTTTATGCGTTGGTAAGGCATCCATTGTAAAACAATTTCTCCTCTTTTGTGTGTGTTTGCCCCTCATAAAATCGTTACTCTTACTACTTGAAATAAGACTTCGTTTTTTATTTCAGTTCTCTCTTCTGCTCCTAGGATCGCAAAAGGCTTATGTCTTCAAATATGATCAACGTAGAAATCTGAGGCAGAAATTAGCGAAAGGTTGATATGTAATATATTCATATGTTTCTTTTGATTTGATATGGTTTATATTTTATAGCTTCATCATAGCATTTCTATCGGGTTATTATTTATACATTTTTTCCTTTTTAGACAGCCCATCACGTGAAGCTGAGATTCAACATAAGGACAAGGTGGAGCTGCCTGAATACCAATGCAGACAATGCTTCACTAAGGAAGTTAGGTTATCGGGTTAAATCTGATACCATCCACTTTGACATGATCTATTTTCATCAATTTTGTAGTCTAATGATCAACTCTGTACAGGAGATATATGAAGGCTTGTGCGTCGCAATCGGATCAGGGTCATAGTCGAGAGACCATTGAAGAGCCGATAGAACTGCTAAGCTCAAAGACAATGGTAATAAGGTATCAAGCGAACACTTAAATCTAAATCTTCTTGGTTATGAGTATCTGTTCATTTTTTTAGTTTACCAATAAAAATTGTCCTAAGATCTTGGTTGTAAAAAGCGCGAGGCACACTGAGGCGTTAAAGGGTCTTAAAATCCGAGGCGTGAGGCGTGAGGCGCGAGGCGCGAGGCGAGGCGCGCGCCTCTCGCACGAGAGGCGCATTATTAAATAATAGAATGCATAGTTAACAATAGAATTGTTATTTAATTGTTTAAACCAACTATATGTTCATTCAACGTAATTAAATTATATTTATTATAATTAAATTATAATCTAAAATTTTGACTAATATGAACAAAAATTAAAATAATTTTAGGGTGATATATAAATATTATTTGTTTTGATAAAGAAATTAATAATTTATTTATAAAAATAAAATAATTTTCAATTATGGTTTTAACATATATATAAATTTAGTTCTGTATTATTATTAATTTTAATTTATAATTGATAATAAAATAATTAATTTTATTTAAAATCTTATATATAAATTAATTAAAAAATTGATATAATCTCACATCGTGAGATGTCTGGCTAGACCTATTTTTTATTCACACACCCACGTGCCTATCATCCATCTCTCTCTCCCACTCACCCACTTTCCCTCGCTTCTGCTCTCTTCGTCTTCTACCTAAACCTAGTTTTTTTACATTAACCGCCTTACTACCAGAGGCGCACGCCTCCGCCTCCGGCCGATGAACATAAGTAACCGTCAATGACAGTCTCGAAACACACTTGCTGAGAATCAGCTTTTCATCTTCTGCATTAATCATGACCTTGAAACAACAAGCAACTCCAACATTCCCCCTTGGTTCAAGGTCGTTCACAATATCGATCAATCATCACTTGGAACTCTTTTTTTTTTTTTAAAAGTCCTTCCACTTCATTTGCTTCAGCCTTTTGTGCTTCAACATCTTCAACGTTTTTTTCCTTGCAAATTCTCTCAACATGTCCCATTCTACCACATTTCCTGCATTTAACATCAGCTCTTTTCCAACATCGCCAATATGGATGACCCTTCTTATTACAGTGTTTGCAAGGATCCGAAAAACCCTCGCTCCCACCGCCTTCTGTTGTTGAATTTCCTGATTTACCGGAATTGTTACCGTTCTTTGTCTTCTGACAAACCGTAGCTTTTAAGGCTCCTTCAACATTTTCTCCTTTTTCGCATTAGCCTCCTTTGCTCTTGTGCTTGAAGAGCGCTTATAACTTCTGTAAGTTTGATCTGCGATAATTGTTTTGTATTCTCCAGAGATGCAACAATAGCTTCGAACTTTTCGGGAACAGAAACCAAAATCTTCTGTACTATCTTGTCATCATCAACCTTAGTTCCCAGAATCCTGATATTGTCGATTATGTTAACAAGTCTGTTAACATAATCTTTCACCGATTCATCTCCTTTCATCATTTGCCTTTCAAACTCTCGCCACAAGTTTAAAACTTTCATACCTCTTATCTTTTCATCTCCTTCATACTCGGTTTTGAGAAAATCCCACATCGCCTTAGCAGATACGAGATTCATAATCTTGATCAGAATTGATGGTGTGACCGCAGCAAAGATACAGGACTTCGCCTTGGACTTTTTCGTGACCCTCTCTCTATTGTTCCTCAATTGGTTGACAGTCGGATTCGCTGGCAAAGCAGGGATTTCATACTCTTCTTCCACCGCTTCCCAGAGATCAGCACCTTCGACGAACACATGCATTCTCACTGCCCAGATCTGGTAGGCCTCGCCGTTGAAAATCGGAGCATTCTGCACAGGATTTGAATTTGTCAAATTTTCTGTCTGATCCATCTTGTGAACCGATCTTCCTTACAGATCCCAGAAAGATCCTTCACTTGCTCTGATACCACTGTTATTTCTCTCAGCCTCACAAATTCCTCTCAGAGAAATCTCTCTCTGCTTTGAATATGTAAGAATTGATAAATGGAAAACACTCTAACGATGTATGTGAATCTGAAGCTTTATTCACACACATAATAATTTTACAGCAATACATCCTTAAATACACACAAACGTAACTGCTAAACTTAGTTATTACATGATAAAGACAATAAACTGATAGTAACTGACATTTCAAATTTAAACATAAGTAACTGTCAATGACAGTCTCGAAACACACTTGCTAAGAATCAGCTTTTCATCTTCTGCATTAATCATGACCTTGAAACAACAAGCAACTCCAACATTCCCCCTTGGTTCAAGGTCGTTCACAATATCGATCAATCATCACTTGGAACTTTTTTATTTTTAAAAAGTTCTTCCACTTCATTTGCTTCAGCCTTTTGGGCCGCCTCCTGCAAATCGCATCGCCTAGGGTTCAGGATGCAATTTTGGGTTCGCATCTGCGCATCCACCGGGCGCGCTTTTTCGAACTAAGCTTAAGATGCTAATCATACGTGAAATGAATTGATACCTTATTTAACCAATTGTCTTTCACCTGATAGGAAAAGAAATTGGAATGGCTAACATCGAAATTAAGATCTCCAGATCTTTCACATTGATGCATCGAACGCTAGAATGTAAAATCTTCGCTTCTCATTCATTTTTGTTTCTCTTCGTAAAATTGTAACTTGTTAAATTGGTATCGTTTTGATTTTATGTTCCAAATATGTTTTATATGCAGAGCATATTGAAGCACATTGGGGTACAGGATAGGCTTGTGATATGCGTAAACATTGCTCCAACTCTTTAGGCTACAACCCAAAGAAAGATATAAACCGTGAGCACACTTTTTAAACTAGAATTATCTGGGCTTATATTGTCAATATTAGATGTCCTTGTTTCATAAACAGTCTTGAGTTTAATGATCTTGCATATTTTATTTTTCAGTGAACTTTCGAGGAAGAAACCAACACCAAACTGATAGTTCTTCATATTAACTATCAGTTTGGAGTTTGTTTCTTCCGCGTCGCTGGAAAAGAAAAAAATGTAAAATCATTAACCTCATGAATGTTTATGCATTCCATTCAAGATCTGAAAAATTACTAGAATAGGAAACAAGGACATCTAATATTGACAACCTAGCCCAGTAAATTCTAGAGTAAAAATTGTGCTCATGGTTTATACATTTCTCTGGGTTGTAGTCTAGAGAGTTGGAACAATGTATACGTATATCACAAGACTATCCGGTATGCCATTGTGCTTCAACTTTCTTTGAATATATAACATATTTGCAACATAAAATCATAACAACAACAATCTAACAATTTATAATTTTACGAAGAAAAAACAAAAATGAATGAGAAGCGAAGATTTTACATTCTAGTGTTCGATGCATCAACATGGAATGGAAGATCTGGAGATCTCAATTTCGATGTTAGCCATTCCAATTTCATTTCACGTATGATTAGCATCTGAGGACCATTACTATTCGTAAATTAAAAAACGAACGGGATACTCATAACCAAGAAGATTTAGATTTAAATGTTCACATGATAACTTATTGCCACTGTCTTTGAGCTTAGTTGTTCTGTCAGCTCTCAAATGATCACTTGATAACGCAACTTCCTTAGGCAGTTACACCTTGTTCTTACGTTGAAATTCTACTTCATGTGATGTGCTGTCAAAGGAGGAAAAAAATGTAGGCACACTAAAAACCAGATTTATCTGTTCGGAGGTCTGATTTCTTCCATGGAGGCACATTAAAGAGGAAAGACACATATAAACCCGTTGACCCGTTGACGTCTAAACTATTTATGTACTCAAAACCCAAAATCAAATTCGTTAAAAGGGACTCCCACGAAATCGTTATTGAGTTTGACATCAAAACTGAAATATATATCATTGGTCCACTATATAATTACAATTATTTTATTATTTGTTCCTCATGACAAGAGAAGACGAGAAAATTTTCTTAGAACAATTATGTGCGATTGAAATCAGAAGGCAAAAAATAATTAAAGAGAAAGTAGGAAATTACTAACCAGAAGTCAGCAGTAATGGGAGGGAGCCTCCTAATCATTCAATGTCGAGGCTTCACTGAAGAAGAAAGTCATAGACAAAGTGAATAACTTTTAGAATATGTACTGACACCTAAAGCAGATTAACAACATATAGTGCTCAAATTAAACAAACGTATGTACCTTTCTCTTTGTTGTAAGCCCAGATGGGTTTGCAGAATTGTAAAACGATCTTCTGTTCAGTTTTTGTCATGTCTGAAAGAGATAATCATTGCACTCATCTTTCGCACCATATCACCGATGAAACAGAGGATAGATTCGATAATAAAATAAAGAAAAAAGAAGAAGAAATGTGCAGTATAACGCATGAAATGTGTAGTATAAGCACTTGAGCGAAGCTAATCTTAGGAAGATAGCCATTTCATGCGCTTATACTACACATTTCTTCTTCTTTTTCTTTATTTTATTATTGAATCTATCCTCTGCTTCATCGGTGATTTGGTGCGAAAGATGAGTACAATGATTATCTCTTTCAGGCATGACAAAAACTGAACAGAAGATCGTTTTACAATTCTGCAAACTCATCCGGGCTTACAACAAAGAGAAAGGTACATACATTTGTTTAATTTGAGCACTATATGTTGTTAATCTGCTTTAGGTGTCAGCACATATTCTAAAGGTTATTCACGTTGTTTATGACTTTCTTCTTCAGTGAAGCCTCGACATGGAAGGATTAGGAGCTCCCTCCCATTACTTCTTGTTAGTAATTTCCTTCTTTCTTTTTAATTATTTTTCGTCTTCCGATTTCAATCGCACATAATTGTTATAAGAAAATTTTCTCGTCTTCTCTTGTCGCAATGAATAAATAAATAACTATAATTATAGAGTGGACCAATGGTATATATTTCAGTTCTGATGTCAAACTCAATAGGGATTTCGTGGGAATCCCTTTTAACCAATTCAATATTGGATTTTGAGTACGTAAATAGTTTAGGCGTCAATGGGTTTACATGTGTCTTTCCTCTTAAATGTGCCTCCATGGAAGAAATCTGAGCTCCAAACAGATGAACCTTAGACAGCCCATCACATGAAGTAGAATTTCAACGTAAGAACAAGATGGAGCTGCGTATAGGAAGTTACCTTATCAAGTGACCATTGGAGAGCTGACAGAACTGCTAAGCCAAAAGACAGTGACAATTAAGGTATCACCGAACTCTTAAATCTAAATCTTCTTGCTTATGAGTATCCCGTTCGTTTTTTAATTTTCGAATAGTAATGGTCCTAAGATGCAAATCATACGTGAAATGAATTGATGTCTCATTTAACCAATTGTCTTTCACCTGATAGAAAAAGAAATTGGAATGACTAACATCGAAATTGAGATCTTCAGATCTTCCATGTTGATATATTGAACGCTAGAATGTAAAATCTTCGTTTCTCATTCATTTTGTTTTTTCTTCGTAAAATTATAAATTGTTATTGTTATGATTTTGTGTTCCAAATATGTTTTATATGCAGAGCATGTTGAAGCACATTGGCGTACAGGATAGGCTTGTGATACGGGTATACATTGCTCCAACTCCTTAGGCTACAATCCAAAAAAAGATATAAACCATGAGCACACTTTTTACACTAGAATTTACTGGGCTTAGGTTGTCAATAATAGATGTCCTTTTTTCGTAAACAGTCTTGAGTTTAATGATTTTGCATATGTTCTTTTTCAGCGAGCCTAGTTCTTCATATTTGATGAGCAGAGCTAATCTCAGGTAGATAGCCATTTCATGTGCTTATACTGCACATTTCTTCTTCTTTTTTCTTTATTTTATTATCGAATCTATCCTCTTTTTCATCGGTGATTTGGACGAAAGATCTGTGCAATGATTATCTCTTTCACGTATGACAAAAACTGAACTGAAGATGGTTTTACAATTCTGCAAACTCATCTGGGCTTACAACACAGAGAAAGGTACATACGTTTGTTTAATTATATGTTGTTAATCTGCTTTAGGTGTTAGTACATATTCTAAAGGTTATTGACTATGTTTATGACTTTCTTCTTCAGTGAAGCCTCGCCGTGGAAGGATTAGGAGGCTCCCTCCTCTTACTGCTGACTTCTGGTTAGTAATTTCGTTCTTTATCTTTAATTATTTTTTGCCTTCCGATTTCAATCACACATAGTTATCCTAAGACAATTTCCTCCTCGTCTTCTCTTGTCGCAAGGAACAAATAGGGATTTCAGTTCTGATGTCGAACTCGATAGGGATTTCGTTGGAGTCCCTTGTAGCGAATTTGTTTTTGGGTTTTGTTTCAGCGGCGTTCTTGGTGTCCACGTCAGATCCTAACTCAGACCACCAAACATTCAACAGTTGAAGCCTCGCCATGGGCACGCCAGAGGAGGTAAGTGAATCCTCATCCTCATCATCTTTAGCATTTGCATCATCTGCATTAGCATCATCATCATCATCATCATTTGCATCATCATCATCTGCATTAGCATTTGCATCATCATCATGGTTCTGCATTTGCATCGCATCACATCATCACAAACATCTACACCGTCACCCCCAGCATCTTGGCATCATCGTATCCCATTAGCATCGCCGTCGTCTCCATCATGAGCAATAACGTTAGCACCATCACAACATATCACCATCATCGTATTATCATATCACCACATCAACATCGTATCATTATCACAAGCTTCGGCAACATCGCGTCATATTTTCTAAAAAAAAAACCATCGCATCATATCAGCAGCATCGCAACAAACCACCATCACAAGCATTCTCGCAACAAATCACCACCACTGGCATCGACAATCACCTCGTATCCAAAATCGTCACCATACACGTCTCACATATCAAAGTCATCACCGAACGCGTTACAACAGATCGTCTCTCATATCCAAATGATCACCGTATGCGCCACAACACGTCACCCCATAAACTATGCCAAAAAATGAAGAATCTTTTCTCTCACTTCTCGATTTCGTTCACTTTTTTTTTTTTTTTTTCTTCGTGGGTTTTGCTTAATTAGTCAACTTTACTCTTAGTTTTAGCTACGAACGGTGATTCTGTGTTGTGCGATTCATTCGTTAATGGAGTGGTGTTTTTTTTTTGTGGTTCATTGCTTGCTGTTTCGTATATTTGGTCAGTGAAATCGTGACGTGACAGGATGATTTTGCTTGAGGAGTCCATGTTAATAGTGGTCATTTCGGATTCGGTTTGTTTTGAAAGGAAATCAGATTTAACGGACCGGTTCAGATTTTCGGTTCATTCTAAAGGGTTTTATTTTTCTGTCCGTGTGGCACTTTGTGTCTAATGTGGATAGATTTTATTTTTTTTTTGCTAATTAATACTATTCGAATAGTTTATACATATTATTTTAGAAAATTTAATCAGTTTACTTCTTTTTACTAAAAAAAAAGTTTACATGTTTTTGTCAAAAAAAATTTCGGGATTTTCTTTTATCTCAATGTGTTTTCATATGTTCACATCTTTGAAGAATCTCTTTTATGACTATTAAAGTTAGTTATATTTAATTAAGGGTTAAAGTACAACCTCCCCTTGAATCCATCCCTCTAATATTTTTCTTTAAAATTTACAATCGTTACAAGAAATTCATAAAATTAATAGACTGTCATAGTCTATGGTCTAAGTCCATACCCGAACAGTCATCAAGGTTCGTTTTCCAACAAATTAATCTAATGTTTCATATTTTTATAATCTGGTATGGATCCGAATTATTCGAATATCCAAGTTTTTTTTAGATAGAATTGGGATGATGTCGGGTCGGATTGGAATTGAATCAATAATTTGTCCATTGTTCCATCTCATGACTAATCGGAAGATTTGTTGTTATGGCTAATAATGCACATCACAAGACATTATATCATATGATGATTAGTAATGATAATGACGGTCCAAAAGCGGACATTTAACGTGGAGAGACAAAATTAATATATATATATATATATGTCGGTTTGGTTATTAAAAAAACAAAAAGAATACTTTCTAACTATTTTAGCAAACAACCTTAATGTAAAATTCTCTCAATAAACTATTGGACCAAAAACCAATTATTAATGTATGAGACCTAACGATCAATAATAATAATAATAATAATATAAAGATTCTGAAACTATTTTCTAGCCGTTTTGTCCCCCAAAACGATTATTTTTTTGTGAAATTTATTATATGAAATTATTTTATACTATTCATGCATTGCAGTTTAGGGCCATTAGTTTTTATTTTTCCGATTCTCCATTTTGGATGAAATTGTATGCGACTTGGTTACGAAGTTGACACGTGGCAATTGGCTTCTTAAAATGTACATCGTTTGTCTCTCCCTCGAGACATTAGATTTCACCGATACCAGAGGCTGAGTTTTGGTCTCTCCCCACTTGAATCATCTCGATCCATAACGGTCGAACTTTTTAAAAAATATATACTATTAAAAATCATTTCTCCAATTTTTACGTTGATCTTCTGTATAATGCTAAAAATTTTAATGATTTTTACAACTTTTAATATATATATATATATATATATATACTAGATGAAAATATCAGATAAAAAATATTAGACGTGGCAGACTTTTTTCCCATATTTCCTCTTTTTTTTCTCGTTTTCTTTTTTCAAATTGTTTCATTTTTCATATTTCCCTTTTTTTAATTTCACATTTTAGGTCCTTTTAAAAAAAGAAAAAAAAAAAGAAAGAAAAGAAAATTTGGCCCATAGCTTTATAGGAAACCGTTTGATGCACAACTGATGTCCTAAGTGTTAACTAACACGACCAAATCCAACCCTACTTTCTCTGTGGTTAGTTCAAATGTCTTCAAATCAGTTTTCTTGCCCATTATTATTCTTCTCTTCTATTTTCGCCCCCTATATTTTCAGTTTTCATGCCGATATCCATTAAAAAAATAGATGTTAATTTCTAAATTTAAGGATAGCTGATCTGAATATCATTGTCTTTTTATATGATGGAAGTCAAACATTCAAATATGAAAAAAGTTTTAAAAAACCAACTTGCTAAACTTTTTAAATATGCTCCATGTTTTTTGTACTTATTTTGGCTTAAATTGTAGTTTGACCATCTGGCAACAATTAATATTCATGCATAGATTTATATGTATCAAATTCAGATTTTATTTGATTTTATTTGGAATTCTAGCGTAAATTGGTATTTTTATATTATTTTTCCATATGAATAAATTGAGTGTAAAAGATGACGAATACAATAATGGAAACTTAAGAGCAAATTTGCTGGGGGAAAAAACAAAATCCGGAAAATTAGTATTACTTTTTATAAAATTATTTGTACCATGGATTAAAATGAATACATATAACATAGCGGGTCTAAATGTCTAAGTTCACAAATCATCATATTATCACATGAATCTATACAGTGATTCATAAAACTTTACACGTTTACATTATTTACCTTTGTGTAATTTATTTGTTTGGATCTTGTATTCCTTTTTAGGTGAACAGATAAAATTTTGTTAACAAAGTATACATTATTTTCTTATTATGTTTTAAAATGATATATTTAGGAAAGAAAATGAAATCCAAATAATAAGACAATTTGTGATGTTAAAATACAGTAGGACAGATATGTCGACGAATCGAGTAAATTCTGAAACTTTTGGGGCAGAAAATAAAATTATTAAAAGTATTATATATCAATTGTCCTATAAATAATGAGTGTCGCGTGAAGCTAGGTTTGCCGAAACTAACAGCCAAACACACCAAAAAAAAAAGCCTCTTTAGGAAAAAGAAAAAAGAAGAATAAGAAGAAGACGAAAGAGAACATAAATGGCGGCGACTTCTAGAAGGAGCAGAGGGCCAATGTTCCGTTCGCTCTCTCCCTCTGGCAGATTCTGTTACGCTTCTCACGCGCCTCCGCCTTCCGCCACCGCCTTCGCCTCCACCTCCAGCTTCACCTCTCGCTCCTCGACCTTCTTCCACCAGCGACCCTCGCCCCAGCCACGCGCCGCTGTAACCGTCACCTCCTCCGCTGCAACCGTCAGATTCTCGCTCGAGCGCCCGACCTCACCCGGCCGGTCGATATCCGCCGTCGGTCACTCACCACGCGCCGGCCAGATCGTCAGGAGCCAGACCCCTCCGCAGCAGAAGCGCACCTGTTTGTGCTCTCCGACGAACCACCCCGGATCCTTCCGTTGCAGTCTCCACAAGGCAGCGGCAGCGCGTGGATCTCACGCGCAGACGAGTTACTCGCCGAACAACCGCCTGCATGCTCGAAGGTCAGCGATGACGAACTCACTGGTGCGGATATGCGGCGTGGAGGGAGAACTGGTGAAGCGAGCCCTCGCCGCGCTGATCCGGCCGTCGTCACACCACCAGCGCCGCCGCGCCGATTTCCATCCGCGGCCGAGTCGCCTTTCAGTCATGTCGAAGGCCGAAGATTCCTCCTGATCCTATGACGTCATCCCCTGACGATCTGGCGGACAAAAGTTTTTTGAAATCTCCGGCGGCCGTGAAGTGGACAGATATAGTTTTTTTTCTTTTATACACTGGTTTCCTGTGAAAGTGTCTATATATATATGGTGCACAAGTTGCTCTAATGGCAAATCTATGAAACAGATGGAACAAGGAACCAAATTTTGAAATTATTTTACTTTTTCAAAATCAAAACCTTCAACGAGTTCACCCAAAATTCAGAGATTGAAATTGAGGATGAATTCTTCAAACCCATTGAAACAAATTGTTATATAGGTTGTGTCGTTTGTGTGTATTCGTTGTTTTACCGTATTCCGTTATCATCTCCGTTTGATTTAACGTTTTCCGTCGTCTTCTCCGTTTTGTAGGGGCTTAACACGCTTACGTAACCCTCCTCGCCGGCGTTGACAGGTTTAATTACGTTTGATTATGTCGTTAATTAACACTGGGGTTTTTATGAACTGTTTTTGAATTTTGCAGCTTTGAATATTCGAGTGATAAACAAACCATCAATGGAAAAAAAAATGATGATCAAGGTCTGCAACAATGGAGGAAGACTGAATTTTTGGACTTGGACTTAATTGGGGGGTTTTTTCTTAAAAAGGATAAACAATAATTAGAATAAATAACATTACATTTTGGTTAAAAATCGATTATCACGAAAGGGATGACGTTGACCCAATTGATCCAAGTAAAATTTGAATTAAATTCCAATATAATATAAACCAAAGACAATATGGATGGCGTTGCATAATGGATTACGTCGTGGGCCTCTTTACGGTGGATCATTAAGCCCATCTATCGTAAAACTTTTGTTTTATATTATAGCGTCTAAGCCCAAAATAAAACTTAGTTAAAGGCATTAAAACCGGGTTTTGCCCAAATAATTGAATGTCAAAACTAGGGTTAGGACGGTAAATCTTCAAACCCGGATAAATGTTTTTTTCTTTTTAATTTTAACTAGAACGATTCTATATAATTTTTATATAAAAAAAAATTAACCCGATGTAAATGAAATATAGAGTAATTTTAAAACTTAAAATTTATTTGTTTATAAAAAAAATCTTAATAAAAATAGAATCAGAAAACGAAATAAGTAAATATAATTATTTCAAAATAGAAACCCAAATCTAAAAATTAACCGGTTGGATGCATGAAATACCAACCCCTATAAGGCATTAATGTGCAGAGTTTCGAAAATTGCGACAAATCTTGAATTTAATTTTTCCTATATTATGCATACGTAATACATCTCGAAATTTGTTGATTGGATTAATTGGAACGTGAAAGGGCTATAAGTAATCATATGATCGATGTGAGTGCGTTTGCAGGCGAATTTAGTTAGAAAGAGAGCGTGAAAGAACCAAACTCGGAAATATAAACCACGTGATAGAGTGAGCAATCGAATCTTGAGAAATAAAAATTAAGAAACATAACAATAAACAACGTAAGCTCTTCGATAATATCTTAATACCATTTCATCGTATCTAATTCATGTTTTATATGTCTCTAGGGAGATTACACCGACAATTAAAATTGATTATACTTGGACCGATACTTAAATACTAATATAAACTTTTTTTATTCAAAAAGGCCCATCATAGTCCATCCATTTTGATATATATTGAATATATATTTGTAATTAAAAAAACCGGTAAGAACCCAAGATTTCAACATAAAGGCGACCGGTGAGGAATGCCTTTGCGTCGGTTGATGCAAGTGGAGATGTCGTCTTGATCATCACTCGCCACTTTATAACTACTCGCCGATGATTTTCCACAAACGTAAAACCCACTTCGTTTCTTCCTCACTACGTTGTTCGTGGTGGGCGCGTACGGCGGCGCGTGAGGATAGATGTCGGAGGAGTTGCCGGAGGAGGCGCCGGAGGACCAGCTCATGGGCTCGTCCGAGTCAACCACCGTGGACCGAGGCGTCTCGTAGGCCTGATCCGAGTCGGCGAGCCCCACGTCTTGAGGGATGATGTAGTCGGGGCCTAGGGTTAACGTGTGGCATGGCTTTAGGAATGGTGTCAAGTCCTTGTAACGTTTTAGCACAAAATCCACCTATAAATAAAATAATAATAAAAATTAGATTTATCTAATCCAATAACGTATTAGTTTGGTTTTACTGAATCATTCACATAAAATTAATGCTATTTTTTATTAATGCTATATCATTATTTAATACTTAAAACTGTTCTTAATTAGATATAGTTGAAGACATGACCAGAATTATAGTAATATAGATCCATTGTGAGTGAACAGCACATTTACTAACAGAAAATGAATATCACAACCAATCATATTTTTAAAATTTCTAAATTTCTCATATTACATCGAGCCATTTATTAAAAGTTCTTCTTCCCTATTTTGGTTTTAAAACATTTAAAAAATAATAGAATTTTTGTTGAATAAAATCGAAAAATAAAACGGAAAATTTGCTTTAACTTTCTTTTTTCAAAGAAAACGTTACTTGATTTTTTTTTCATTGTTAACAATAAAAATTCAATTAAAGAATATAAGTTAATATATAGAATTTAAAAAATGTTAGTTTAGCATACTTATATATCCCTAGTATTTTAAACCAACTTGTGACGACAGGAAGTCAAAAAAAGAAAAAAAGTTCCAGATTTAAGTGTACTAATTATTATTTTTTTCTCTCACGATATTAGGTATACTATTTATAGGTGCTAAGTTTAAAATTTTAATATTTTGATTTATTGTAATTAAACACGTAGTGGTACTTGTGTTTCTACTTTGGACCGGGTTTAGAGAACAAGTTGCGGGTTTTATTAATAGGGAGAAAAAAAACATGATCTCCTTATTCTGACCATATATGCTTAACCCTGTCCTATTTTATTATTATTATTATAAATTAGAAGAAAATTTTTTATTTTGTATATATCCCGTTTGCAATTCTTATCACCTAATTCAAACTAGAACATAACACATACACATGAATCTTCACCATCTTTATGAGTTTCTCATAGTATGTGTGTGTGTGTATCAGACATATATAAATTTAATGTATTGAATTTTCTTGATTAGTGAGCAGAAAATAATGCGGTTAATACCAATTAATTAATTTAATCTTCAAAGAGAAAATTAATTAGAGATGAATGGATGGAATTTAATTAGGATATTACCTTACAACCCAAGGAGCAATGAATGAAAGATTCTTGGAGACTTCTGTCACAGGAAGTGCAATAGTTCCCAGCTCCTTTGAACTGTCTGTTCTGTGGTCTCTTCTTGATGAACACCACCTTTGCACTGTTTATAGTGTATGCCTATACGTACCCATGACATTCAATATACGTATATAGATTCCTCTCAAAATTCTCATAGTTACATATTGACGTGTGTGTATGTATATAGGCCATGATTAGGGCAAACCTGGACATTAGAGCAGTCGATAAGTTTCTGAAGATCTTCGAGGCGAACGACGTCATGGTAAACGTACCGGCGAATCTGAAGAAGTCTGTGGAATCTGTGGGAGGGGACGCAATGAGGGCACAGGCTGATGCAGCAGTCGAGGCAGCACACGTTCTTCTCGTTCTTCTTGGTCATCTCATGGTACGAACACGCCACGAAGAATTTCTGCGTGTAGAGTGCATCCAACCACGCCGGCTTCTGAATTCCCTTCACCAATATCACAATTCAAAGTATTAATCTCTCGAAAAACGTATTGAAACTTTCACATATGGGGTCTCTCTCAAGGTTTCCAATATCTAAAACATCGCTTATAGGTTAAAGTTCTTTTGGTTATACAGTCGGTTAATTTGTAGATACATATATATATATATATATATATATCGCTCGGGTTTAATTCAATTGTACGTGTAAACAAAAATAGTGATATACCATATGAAACTGTTTGATGATCAAATTAGGCCAATAATGACATATATATATATATATAGAGAGAGAGTATATATAATACTTTCCATTTTAGTGAAGTGTGTGTGTGTATATATATATATATAAGGTTTGACAATTCAGGATTGCCAATCAGGATAAATGAAAAGGGGGAGAGAGTAACTATATTTGATATGTGAAGAGAAGAAAGAATTTGTGAAGAAAACCTACCATGATGACAACTCAAAACAAGCTTTGGGAGATGGACACTTGAGGAGTATAACTGTGAAGAAAAACGAGAGAGAGAGGGAGAGGGAGAGAGAGAGAGAGTTAGGGCATGGAGATGAGCGAATTTATGGAGGATCCACAAGAGAGAAAAGAGTATGTTTATTCCTCGGAGATATAAATACTTGTTTGTTTATTGCTTTTGGTGAAGAGGGAGAGAGAGAGAGAGAGAGAGAGAGAACGTGGGAGCTGTTTCCGTGTCTGCTCTTTTAAACAAGTATAGTTTTGTCATCTCCTTGGGCTTGAGAGAGCCCTCTCATGCTCCACTACAGGTTAACTTCTCTCTCCTTGGAGAAGCCGCTCACTTTACTCTCTCTCTCTCTCTCTATATATATATATGTATGTATATATCTGTGTATAGGTGGTGTGTGTGTGTTTCTTAAACATTTAATTGTCTCTTTTTCTTTCTATTTCCATGTAGTTTAGATTGTCTTTCTAAAGCCATATATGGCAATGAAAATTCAATACCAAAAGATACATAGGTTAGAGTTTGTGATTATTTATATTATATATCAAATTATATATATATATATATATTTTTTAAATTTTAATCAAAATTCATGGAAGAGAGTTTGAAGAATCTTTTGAATTCTATTAATAGTAATACATAACTGATGAGTTATGTAATAAAAACTTAATTAATCTCTCGATGTCACACACCATGCATAAAAGCTTACGCTCAATTAATTTATGTGAAATATTAATATGTTATCGATCATAACCTACATTTAATATTTATGTTTTTATATAATTTGTTTATAGATGATAAAATGTCAAACCCCCTTCAAAATTCTTTTGTTGTATGATTCTGAAAATTCTAAGTCTATTTAAATAAATTTTTTTAAATTATAAAACTATTTCTAAATTTTAATTCTAGTAGATGTTTATCAACAAATAATATCTATTTAATACCAAAAATCCGAAATTATCCGAGTTACATAGAGCATATAAACATATTATTTCTAACATTTAATTTTAATAATAAGTGGAATATACACGAAATCTGATTTCTCTTAGATGTTATAAATCGGTCCCGAAATCCACAATATCAAAGGTATATATCTCAAGTCTTAATAATATATAAGATTTGGTATTTCATATAATTCTACATAATTAGGACTAATACGCATAGTATATTAATACTAATTAACATGACAGGAAGTCACAAGTTTAAGATTTAATAAATGGTTTTTTTTGTTCTTTAGCGAATTTGTGATGATTTACGTAATTAAATACATGATTAGGTTAATTGTGTTCTAGGGTTTTGCTTGAAAGATAATGGTTAATAATGCATTGTAAATAGCAATTCGTAGAGTGTTCAAAAGCTACATGTCTTACAAAAAGCTAACTAAGCCTAGCTACCCTATCTAAGGACAAATAATCTAAAAAAAATACATACTAAAAATTCATATATATTATAGTTAGAAAATGTAAAAAGTCTATATTTGTATTAAATATACCGTATTACTATATTTTTATTATTAAAACATTGATACAAATTATGTTGAGTGTTTAAATTCATTCAATAAAATTAACAACAATTATCTCTGGTATATTATCACCAATTATTTATTGATTATAAGTTTAAAAAGTTTTAAATTAAATCTATCGTTCAAACTAAGATATATGTGTTTTCATGGGTGGCCTGGAATTTAGAATTATTATATTAATATAAATGTGTATAATAATATAAATTCGAGGAGAATACTATTTGGTACAATAATAATTTCATATGAAAAGTAATTAGTTCATGTAAATATAAATATTAAAATCAAATCTAATATGCGAACATTATCATAATCTTCTCGTATCTATAAATCATCCAAATTATTGTTTGACTAATTTAGCCTAATAGGAAAACACACCGTCGTATTTCTTGGGGTAAAAGACCGACAAATTGATATAATAAGAATTATGCATAATCAAAGATTGAATTTAATGGGAGTAGAAATGTACTGTCCATATGGTTAATTATAACTATTAAAAAATATTTATTTACTGTAACCAAGGAGAAAAAAAAAAGATTCTTCTGTCTTACTCCGACTTGTCCTATTTTATTGCCATTAGTGTCTGAATGATACTTCTTGTTATGGGTGACATTATATCTGTACCATATCATATACACGTATATAAATGTGTAAATTAATAGTTAAATTAAAATTCTTGTAATATAAAGTATTTGATTTTTTAAAGCTTCAACTTAAGGGTTTAACGTCATTAACTAGCGATAACTCCAAGGTTAATTACCCATGCTTTGTAATCTTCCGTTTAGATCATCATGGTTAATATTTAGGGTAAGAATTACAAATTGACAAGAATTTTTTTCCCCAATTATGATGAGTCATTAGTTATCAGTTAATTATTTTAGGTTACACATATTTTTTTGTTAACTTGAGTATATAGAATCGAATCGAAATAAATTAAAAATATATAATATGTGTAAATCGAATTTAATTTGAATTTGAAAATTGAATCTAATATGGGTTTTTTTTTAAAAAAAATCGTCTGAATAAAAAGCTATATTTTTAAAAAAAAATTTGTAAATTTCAAAACTAGAATTGAAACTAAAAAGGCCAAGAACAACAAAACACGTACGAGGAAATAAAGGTATTGAGTATCAAATATGGCAACAAAAAAACATCGATTTTGAGAAGAAAAAAAACCTACTCCACTAATTTTAATTTTTGTCACAAAACTTTTGAGACATACACAACTCACTAACCACTAGGTTATTTATTTATTTATTTATTCTCAAATAATTAATTAATTAGTTTGCTTAAAACATGTTAATTTAAGATTATTTAGTCAAGCAATCGTGTTAAGACAAGCAGGGGTTTCACCAGTTTCCGAGGAAACCCCTTGTTTCCTGTGCTCATAAAGCTAATCACAATTTTGATAATCCTGTGGTTTATTACGTATTTGCTTAGGCGGTTTAATATTTAATTGTTTTTTGTTACTAATTAATTCCAGGTGGGTCTTGATTAGTGTTTAATTAATTGCTTCAGCTTCTTCCAGAAAGTTCAATGTTAAAAATATTGTAATGGAAAAATGGCCATAAATTTATTAGATGGTGTGAACGAAAAGCCATTTTGATTTTTGTTCTAAGTTTTAACTCTAAACAATATTTAAATTTTTTGGACGAGTGATTTTTCAAATTTTTGGGAATTTTTTCAACTGTGTATGATTTTATATATGACATATAAACGCTATGATTTCAGACCTGAATTTTGGAAACTTCTAAGCCTGTTTGGGATTTTTTTTTTTCAATTGTGTATGATTTCTGTGGAAACTTTTATTGTGATTGAATATATAAATTGTTTATTTATATTATATTTTTTTTAAATGAACACAATTGTGTTTGGTTTGGAAATGATAAAATATTTTATAACCAATTCAAAAGTATGACGCGATAAATTCTATGTTTTTTTTTTATAAAAATGTCTCGATTTTGTATTCAATATTGCGTAAGTCCTTTTTTATTTCCTTTTTTTTAATTATGTATAAGCCCATTTGGCTATAAATTAAATATATGAACTTGAAAATTTAAATTTCCTCTTGACTTTTCATTTTAGAGAATATCTCAGTCTAGGGATCTTGAGAAAAAGCGGCAGAAGAAAATTGTAAAATACTATCCTTTAACCCAAAAAAGCAAAAATGTCAAACTATAATCAAAATTTTCAACTTTCATTTCCCTTTTTCTTATGTTGCTGACCTGTTTCAAGCAATAAATTTTTAAAAAATTAATGTTTAACCATACATAATTAATTTTATTAATAATTATTAAAGAATAGTTTTCTTGCTCATGTTTAAGTTATCACTACCTATTTAGATATTGTATATATATAATAAATACCATATAGTTATTTCGAATATAAATTAATCTAAAAATCGATAATATATAATTTTTTAAAATTAGTTTAATAGGGAATATAATAATAAAAAGTGAAAAAATAGAGTTTTTAAAAAATTAAAAAAATTATGAAAATTTGAATATATATATTCCATCGTTATTAAAGGGACACCCTTCAACATTTCTCCATTCTCGTCATATATAAGAGAGAGAACACATCTAATTGTGATATAGTTAATACAAAACCTAATTAAAGCTAAATATATCCAATCCTAATTAAAATAAGTGTTAATGTAATATATATACATGTATATATACACACGCACGCACTAATAATATGAGATGATTAATAGACTTCTTCCCTTTAAAAGTTAAATGGATTATTATCAGAAGTCAGAACCGACCAATCGGAATTAGAACAAAGCACATGGACTCACTCTTGTTTCGTCTTTTTTTTTACACATTAAAAAATTAACCTTATAATCACTAAACCCCAAAAATCAAATTTAAATTATAAAAAAAAGGAACAAATTATGGACTGAATCAAAATAGGCAAAGGCAAAGCAAATGAATGAGGCAGTGAGTGCCTCACGTGCCATGAAGAAACCATGATAAAAGCAGTTTGTTCTATCGACAGTTACAACTCACGTGCTGAGAATCCAATGACCTAAACTTCCCTAATTTTTTTAGGAAATTAATTACAAAATATATGTTTTTTTTTTGTTAAACTACAAAATATATATATGTTGTTTTTTTCTTCGCGAAGAAACAATATTTAGAATGCGTTTTTTTATTCTTTAATGTTTAATTTATATTTGGTTCTTTTTATGCATATACGTGCATGCATACGTATCTTTATCAAATTTTCATCACTGATTTTGAATTTAGATACTATAGGTTTTAGCCCTTCACTCCACTCCGAAATATCTATCAATATCAATTACAGATTTTTCGGACCAATACATTAATTATTTGAATTCAGATATAAAAAAACAAATATAACTATCATATATAAACAAATATTTGGTTATAACCTAGAGTTTTCCCAAAATCCAAAAACTATAACAAAAAATAATTGGCTATAATCTAATAATACGTTGGAAATCACTACGAAGTACATATGCTTTAATCCTTATTTATTTAACATTGAAGTTTATTACGAGAGTATACCATTCAAATTTATCAAAGAATTTGAAATCATGTAATATCAAAATTACTCATGGAGAGATAATTATATATATATACAAATTAAACAAAATAAAAATAATTATTCCAAGCTCAAACGTATTTCTTTGAGGCGAAGAAACCTTCGAATCTTCCTTGTATCAGTTTCCCATATCTTTTTATAAACTTTTATAAAATTAACGGAAATCATGTTAATTAAAATATTTTTATTTATTTTTGGTAAAAAAAGTCTTTTTAATCTTCCTGTGGATATAAACAACAAAACTGTTAAAGTAAATAGTAGACATCTCGATATAAACTGAGCTAAATCATTTTAGCTAAACAGAATCAATATATAAGTTATCTACATAATTATGCATTGAGCAATTTTATTTTTCTTGTTTATGATTTTTCTTTTTGTAAAATGCATTGAGTAATTTTATTTTCCGTGCATTGAGTAATTTTTTTAAAATGTTTAGAATAAATAACGATTTTGATGACAAATAGTAATAATCGAGAGAAATATACATAAATGTTTTAGTATTTAGTAAAAAAAAAGGGTCAAAAGTATTGAATATGCTTATCCCTACTGCCATATGAAAAGTATATATTATAAAGAATTATTTCAGACTACATATTTATACTTGTTTATGATTTTTCTGGCCCTCATCTCTTCAAATAATCATAATATCTCCTTTAAATAACGTGGAGTTTATAGAAAGAATAAAAATAAAACGGGGTAAATAGATCCAATTAATTAAATAATCATCATAACAAAACACTCACACTAAAAAAAAACAATGTTGTGGTCTCAAGGTTGAATACAAATGTCTATATGTCTGTGTATAATGATAATAATAACAACAACAATGATTCATATATAAATATATATATTTAAATGAATGAGAAAATGGGGTTTAATAGTCTATTTTGTCGGGAGGGTGGTCAACGGTCAAAGATCCACAAAAATGATGGATGGGTTTTTGGGGAGAGCGAAGGGGAGAGAGAGAGAGAGAGAGAGAGAGAGAGAGAGAGAGAGAGAGAGAGAGAGAGAGAAAACAGCGTGTGAGCCGCACGAGGGGATCCTCTTGCTCATCCTGACTCACCCTTCCTCCACTGTATATAATATATATATCCATAATTAATTTTTAAACAAAATACTATAAAATAATTTCTTTTTTAACAATAACTATTCCTATTTTATTTTGTTAAAATTTTCAACAAAAAACTAAAATCCAAATAGAAAAATAGACTATCATTATATATATATATAATCCCGTATCTTTGCCAGTTTTTAAAATCACACATATATATATATAATATACACACACATTTATATAATCTGCTTTTTAAAACAACACAATAAAAATAATGTTTTTCGATACATAAAAAAATACTTTCGGGGGGATTATTTTAACGGCGATTTTGTGTCTTTTATCAAAGTCAGGTCACGTGCATCGCACCTCCCCTTTTGTAGTCACTACGGACCAAAATGATGCCTGACAATGGCTTACAAAATATTTAAAACCCATGTACATAAAATAATATACATGGACCGCTATCTCTCAATCATATCCCATACATAATGATTATGTTATATATATATATCATTGCAATCACAATGAATTTGTAGAATCAAAATGATAAATTTAAGACCGACCGTTCACTTATAGGAAATATAAATAGTGTTTATACAGAAATGTTTGTATTCAATATTGGAAATGGATAATTCATTATGTTTAATGTTTCATTGAGTAATATTAGGGATAAATATTTACATTGCCATATATAAAATTGAAATGAAAAAAAAAACATGTACAGGAACCAAACCGATATAAATCTTATCAGTACAATTTTCTAAAGTAAAACGAAACCAATTTAAATATAAATAATTAAACAATATAATATCGAAATATCTTTACAAAATATATACTACAATGAAAACAGAATTCAAAATAAATCTGTATAAAATCAGAACTGATATATTTTTCTGAAACATTTAAAACTTGGACAAAAACAAACTGAAATATCCACTCTCATGTAATAATGTTTTTTTGTTTAGCATTACAGAATTACAAAACTGGGATACAGTAGCAGTGCTTGGTCTTAAAATGTTGTAATTGTAAATTGTAATCCATTTTCCAAAAGGTATGTTTATGGGCCTACTTGGATTTACAATGAGCCCATTTTAAAGTAGAAGGCTCTCTACGAGTGGGCCCATAATTACAAATGTAATAAGCCTTAGGCCCATAGTACACGATTGTTCATATTCAAAACACGTGTTTTTTTTGTTAACGGACGTTTGCATCCGTTAACGGACGTTTTCTCTGGCATGTCGATTCGGTTCGACCCGTTCTAGACCGCTGCGATTAGGGGTGGCCAATTCGGATTTCGGTTCGGGTTCGGTTCGGTTATAGTCGGGTTCGGTTATTTCGGTTATAGAAAAACTATAACCATTCGGTTTTTATATAAATTTCGGTTCGAGTTCGGTTCGGTTCGGTTATTTTTCGGTTCGGGTTCGGTTCGGTTTTGGTAAAAAGTTCAATTTTTCAAAGAAATTGTCGGTTATTCTCTCGGTTTTTTCGGTTATTTTTTATTCGGTTCGGTTCGATTTCGATTTCGGTTTTTCGGGTTTAAGGAAATCATAACCGTTCGGTTTTGATGTCGGGTTCGGTTCGGGTACGGTTATATCTTATTCGATTCGGTTCGGTTCGGTTATTCGGTTAATAACCGAAATGGCCACCCCTAACTGCGATCTATAAAAAATGTTGGGTTCGCCTTGACCTAATTCATTTTTAAACAAACTAAAAAAATATAATTGGATCGATTTTAGATAATTAGCATGAATCACACATTTGAGGTTATTTATTTATTTATTTATTTGAAAAAGCAAATAGGCCCTGAGCTTTTGGGCCCAAATATTAGGGCCCAACCTTTTTCTGAAAACCTTTATTTATATACCGTAATCTAAATTAGGGTTTCTCGTTGTGAAGCTCTAGTCGCTGCTCCTCTCGCATCTTTCTCGCAAATCCTCAAGCTTCGCCTGAGAGCTATCCGCCATGGCTGAGCAGGTTGCTTATCGTCGCATTTGAATCCTTCTTTCCTGTGTGTTCACTTCGTCTTCTTTATTTGTAGCGGTCGATCTCAATTACATGACCGTTCTCTTTGGTTTTGGTTTTTGTAGACCGAGAAGGCTTTCTTGAAGCAACCCAAGGTTTTCCTATGGTAATTTGCGATAAGCAGAGAATATTTTTCGGTTTTGTGTGTCCATCGTTTCTGGATTTGCCTGCTTCGTTCAAAATTTTGTCCGTTTGTCCATTTTTTTTAATGATTTTTTTTCTGGTATCAGCTCGAAGAAAACCGGGAAGGGGAAAAGGCCCGGAAAGGGTGGAAACCGCTTCTGGAAGAACATTGGTCTTGGATTCAAGACACCTCGCGAAGCCATTGAAGGTGCAGTGTTTGTTTCTTAACCTACTTGATTTTATTGTATATTCCCGGTCACTGTAGAATTGCGATGTAGTTGAAGATCAGGTGCGGTAACTGGTTTCGTTTTGAATTTGTTCAGATAGATTTTGTTTTCTATATTAGAGATTAGCGATTTGGTTATACTAAATCTGGGCTTAGACTGGTGATCGTGTTTAGTCGTTCTATTCTGTACTCTGTAATAGCTGGATGCAATGTCATGTGTTATGTTAAGGGGATATGATTAAGTGGCCGTTATGACTGTATGCTGTAAGATTCGATCTATCAGTTGTTTCAATTTGTTAAAACGGTTTCCAATTTTCCTGTCATAAATGAGTATCTATTGCATCTTGATCCAGGAACATTCATTGACAAGAAGTGCCCTTTCACGGGCACTGTTTCGGTCAGAGGCCGTATCTTGGCCGGCACTTGCCACAGTGCCAAGATGCAGAGAACCATCATTGTCAGGAGGAATTACCTTCACTTCGTGAGAAAATACCAGAGGTAGCTTTCGGATTTTACACGAGTTTTATCATTTATGTAACTCGTTTCACCCGGGCGACAATAACGTCTTCTAAATAAACGTTACAATAGGTATGAGAAGAGGCACTCGAACATCCCTGCCCATGTCTCCCCGAGCTTCCGTGTCAAGGAAGGAGATCACGTAATCATCGGCCAATGCAGGTGTAGTTTCTGTTCCACTCTTCTATCGAATATTCATCCTATATGTCGGGTTTTCAGTTCATGCAGAGGCTCAGTTCTTGGTGTCTTACCGACAGGCCATTGTCAAAGACGGTGAGGTTCAACGTGCTGAAGGTGATCCCGGCAGGTTCGGCTGCTGGTGGGAAGAAGGCCTTCACCGGGATGTAAAAGGAGTTTGATTTTCTGTTTTTTTTAGCAAGACAAAGCTATTTTGAGTGTTTTTGCTGCACCGATTTTGTTTCTCTGGGACTTGATTGAGACGAAATCTATCAACTTTCTTCAGGCAGATTTGAGTTAAAAAGTGTCTACAATAGAACTTCTGTTCTGAGTTTTTGTCAGTCGTAAAGTCTTGATTTTGTTTTAGTTGAAGAACGCAATGGCTGCTGCTGCCTTTTGGCCGCAACCTAGGAAAAAAAAAACCCCGAAAGACTTTATTTTTTATTTAAAACCCCGGAATAATAAAAAAAGTTGGAAAATATAAAGACCTGAAATTTCTCCCTCGAATAGTAATTCTAAAGGTATTATTATTTATTAAATTTTCTTACCCAGACCAGCTTTGTGGATTCCAATTCAGAGGTGGCTTTCTTTTTGTGTGTCACGAGCTCAGTTAATAATTGAAGAAGAAGAAGAAGAAGAAGAAGCTCATTCATATGATATGTTATGACAAATGCCAAACAAAAATTATAATTATAATTTAAAATAAATGAACAGATAGAGGTTTTTGGTTAAGCTCGCGGCACCCAGACCTCGATGACAGCAACGGCAACAAAAAATTTACATGTTTTTTTTTTGTGGTTGGAACGAGAGATGAATACTGTACAGTTTGTTGTTACGCACAACATAATTCAAAATTTCCTAAGGATTTGACCAAATATCTCTCAGAGGATTATTAGGTTTTCTCCCCCCTTGATTTGATCAAACAACTATAACCAAAGATGAAACAAAAAAACTCGTTTGTCCACACCGAACAAAGAATGAATCAGCCGATTCAGAGATTAGTATTTCAAACCTTGAACAGAGAGATGATCATCGTCTTCCTCGTTGATCGCCAAGCGAAGTTCGTGAGATTCTCTCGGGCCGGCCGCGGCGGGAGATTCTGCCGGCGATTCCGAAGGAGACGCCAGATTCGATAGGGAAGAAGACGGAGAAAGCAATTGGAGATTGGAGGAGGACGAAGAGGACGCGAGATGTAGAGCCAACACGTTGCCTTCACTCCACGATCGTTGAATGGGGAAGGCGACGCTCTCCGACATGCCGTGACGGCAGATCCGCCGCTGAATCTGGGATTTTCGGCCGGGGGAGGAGGACCTGTCGTGAAGGGCGCAGCCGCAGTTCTTGTGGTAGGGGCGGCGCTCGATGGCGGCGTCGCAGCCGGAGATGCAGCCTTCGAAGACGCTGCGGAACATCCCGTCTACTGCTCCGGTGGCCATTATCGTTCCGGAGAGAGATCGTGTTTTCCCTCAGTGTTCGGGCCTCGAGGAAGAGTAATGGGATTTTGTGTACGGACGAGGAGGGGTGAGGGGGCTTTTTATATGGAAGGAAATTTATTTAGAGAGGAGAAGGAATTATTAGGTGTTTTTATAAATAGAGAAATGGTGGGAGGGTTCTGTTTGGTTGCAGAGCGGAAAGAGCGGCGAAAGGTGTGGCGACTGCAAGTAGGAGCCGTGTCTGACCAAACGGGCTTTCATTTTGTGCGTTTTTTCCTTAATTATTATGGATTACTACTATTATTATTATTGGTCCGAATCTAATATAATATATTGATATTCAAATTTAAATTCAATTATAAAAAAATTGTATTCAATAAAACCAACTTTTAAAAATAGTTTCTAAAAATATAATTCGAATAGAATTGCATAGAATTTGTTGACAAATAATGTTATTATTAAATAATATCACGCCTTTTTTTTGGTTTGGGGGGGGGGGTTTCAGTCTAATATACAATTAGTGGAAGCTTTATTATATTTGGTTTAAGGATAAAGAAGCATATATTTATTCTTATTCATCACGTATAAAACATGCATTATTTTTTAATATAGACCTTATAATTGTATACAATTTGCACTTAATCATACACATTATAATATATATATATATATATATATATATATATATCTTGCCACAGTGCCAAGATGCAGAGAACCATCATTGTCAGGAGGAATTACCTTCACTTCGTGAGAAAATACCAGAGGTAGCTTTCGATGGTTCCTAATTCCTAACATCATATCAAAAGGAGAAATTTCAGAAAAAAAAATCACGTTATCATATATTCCATGCAAATTTATTACTTTTGCTGGAAACATTGGATACATGGGTAAACAAAAATATCGGATTTTTGAAAATTTTGATGTATAAACTAATCATAAAATATTATTTAAAATTTAACAATATATCCATAATCAAAGAAAATTCCGCTATTTTTCCCATTAATTTTAAACTCTATATGTTAACAATGATAAAATTATTATAATATATTTTAAAATGTAACATTTTAACCAAATAGTTAATACTTTCAAATTTGTGTGCATTATAAAGATTTGAATGGATTATACATCTGAAATAAATCATTATGTTTCAAATGAAATTTTAAGTATCATTCTTGTTGTGTTGGTTGTAATATTTAAAAATGATTATATGAGTTTTTGTGAAAAATATTTTATGATCTTTCGAATTGTAGATGTTTTAGTATAGTGGAAAGATTTTTCCTAATTTATATAACAAATAATAAATAATGTACATAAGCTATCTATCTCGTTTAAGAGATGGTACCGTAATAACGGTGAAATGGACAATTTAGATTTTGAGTCGAAGAATTCCCCCCGGTTTTGAAAACCCATCGACAGGCACGACGAAGATCTCCGTCGCCGTCGCAGTCGCAGTCACCGTCACCGTCACTGTCGCCGGAAAGTGTCTTGTGAGTCTCTTGATCATTGCTTGGAATCTTGCTGCAAGCTTCTAAATCATCGGTGATGGTTTTCTGGGTTTCGATGGATTTTGTGTTAAACTGAACAAATTTCGAGATGGAGTTCTTGTTTGGCAGACTCTACTTACATTTCCGCGTTTGTGAATTGGATTTCCGAACGACTTCTTCGTTTGTGTCGTGGGGTGGGCGCTTGTCGTGAAACCCTAACTCTGTTCCCACGAGACTTCGTAAGTTCATTTATGAAACTAGGGTTTGGAAAATCAGTGTCGGAATCGGAGTTTGAATCGGAGTTACGAGTTACAAGCGATGAAAGCGTGTATCATTATGTGTTTCTGCACAAATATTTACTCGTCCTTTGATTATAATCACATAACAGAGGCTTCGTTTTTATCTCCCTTTTGTAAAGCAGGAATATTTTTTCCATGGATTCAACTTCAGATGAGGAGCCACATCATAACAAGATGAAGTCTCCGCCATTGCTGTCATTGTTGTCGCTACCCGACGAGCTCGTCTTCAACTGCTTGGCACGTGTCTCCAAATGGGACCACCCGGACGTCTCTCTCGTCTCCAAGACCTTTCGCTCTCACATGGCTTCCCCTGAGCTCCACACTATGCGTTCCCTCCTTGGCCGGATTGAACATTGGCTCTAGTCTGCGTACGCATACCTTTCGAACCAGGCCCACGTTTGTTCGCTCTCCGCTCAACAACCGCTAATCATTTGGTCCAGATCCCTTCGGCCCCTTTCGAGCTTCCGAATTATCCGTGCGTTGTCGCGTTGGGTTCAGAGATTTACAAAACCCGTGGAATAATCGATGACAAGAGCACCTCGAGTGTGTTTCTCTTTGACAGCCAATCTCACACATGGCGGTGCCTCCCCAACATGCGGATGCGCCGAAAGCTCTGCTTTGCTGGCGTGGTCGACAGGAAGATATATGTGATTGGAGGGTGTGGCAAAAGGTCCATTTGTATGGGAGAGATGTTCGATCCAAACAAGCAAACCTGGGGGCTATCTCAATTCAGTTCGTTGAGGCACAGTCTGGTTATGTCGGAGCGGCCAATGGTTGATCCTCCGAGATCGGAGATTTGGTGTACTGAGATTGCGTTGGTAAGGAGCAACAAAGAGGAGATATTGGGGAAAGTTCAATGGTCTAAGGCTGTGTATACGTTTGCCGATCCATGTTTTCGTCCTGACATTTTGCATTGTGTAGCCGTCACGGTTTGATCGGCACATGAAAACCGGCTTCGACCCTTTTTTAAATTGATCATCATATGTTCATGTTTCAAATGTTCTTTTGATCGTATTGGTTTGCCACTACTACTGTTTAGGGCTGGGCATTGCTACCAAATCCACGGATCCCTCGGGTATCCGTCCCATGGGTACCCAAAATTCGAGAATCAGAACCCCAACGAGTGCAAGATCGGTGATATTGGGAGTGAAGTTCCGAGAAAACCAAGAGCTATCAAAAGGGTATTTTTCCATTGTGGTGGTCATATTCATTTGCCTCTTCGGCTGGTTATGGGGGGATCCCTTGGCTGGGCAGTGTCGAGTGAGATATTCCCTCTAGAGACTCGATCACATTATCAGCTAAAGCAGAATCCGAGCAAGAAATTGAATTAGAACTGAAGCAAGGTTTTATTCCTAAATGATGTAAGAAGATCTGCAATGAAGAAGCATAAGAGTCCTAAGAATTACATCAAGAAACAACCCATATAAAGCCATAGCCAATGCCTGTTCAATGGCAACACCGTGATTTTGCAGACACTGTAAGCCATTGCTGAAGATTCATGTGCAGAACAATGCACCGAACTTTCAATACACATGCGAGCATGGAGGATCAAGGTTTAATGCAGTAATATTCTAAGACAACCATGGATTCTTCTAGAGGGAAACACCATGGTTTCCCCTCCCAGGATCCCTCAACTTCCGATCAAACACTAAAGACTTGGCCAAAAGAGATGGTTCAAGTTCCAGATTCTTCCTTCTATCTTTGATAAGAACTCATATACACGGAAACTTGCTCTTCTTCTCTAAAAATCCCGGTATAGGGACAGAACTCGGCGCCGGCGAAACCGAGCAGAGAGCTCCGGCGAAACCCTCGACAGCGATCTTAAATCCTCTACAAGCCCTAATCTGCTGCGTCATCGTACCCGGATCCGGTCCGATTCTACCGGTCGAACCCAAATTCAAATCGATATCCTCAAAACTCGCCTCGTTCTTCCTCATAGCAGAGTGTCTCGAACTCGTACTATCGCGATCAAGGCTTACTCGTCTCGTACTCGTACTCTTACTCGAACTGTCGCGATCAAGGCTTCGCTCCTTCTCCTTAAACTCGCTCAACGTCTCGCCGCGCTTGAGGATCTTCACCTGCCCCATCACCAGTTTGCTATTCGCCACCGGCAACTCTGCCGCCGTACAACACGACCGCGATTCTGTTCCTCCGCCTCCGTCGTAGTGGGTGGATCGAAACTCCGGTGGACTGTGCTTCCTCCGGCAAGCCGTCGTTGCAGAAGTAGGGTTTTGAGCATAGCAAGTGCGAGTAGCAGCCATTGTTTTTTTTTCGCGGCTTTGATAGTTTTTTTTCCTTGTTAGTCGAAGAATCAGGCCGCCTTGGATTATTTATAGAGTTCCGTAAATTTTGATCCTACGTGGCTTCGTCAACCGCCATTGACAGATTTTTTTCTTTGTTTTTCGATATATTTATTATGGAATATGCATGCAATGCAAGCAAATTAAAAAAAAATGTTTGTGACATTGATCATATAAATTTATCAACATAATATTAATTAAAATAAATATTTTAAGAAACACCAACGGTGTTTTTATTGAGACCCATCGGAAATTAAAGTGGGAAAAAAAAACCTGTGAAGAGAAAAAGGCTAAGAAAGGCAAAAGAGAATCACAATGAAACGGCATCGTTTCTTAAACAATACATTCGACGTTGGGACGATCTACGAAGACTGAACCCTAAAATGTTAAACCCTCCTCGTGTCTCTGTGTATAGACTCTAAACATCGAGGAGGAGAAAGAGCGAAAATGCCGCTCTATGATTGTATGCTTCTATTTAAACCAGTTATTCGAAAGGAATCTCTCATGGATCTGGTTGCGCGCGTCGGAAGACACGTCTACAGCAGAAATGGCGTTCTCACTGAGATCAGATCCTTTGGGAAGGTCGAGTTGGGTTATGGCATTAAGATGCTTGATGGACGACACTACCAGGTATATCATCGTTTAATCTAATCCGACTTAACTCTTATTCGAATCGATGCTTTCGGAATCTGTAAAGTTATGGGTCAGAAATTTTCTGGCGTTTTGTGTTCTTCGGGTTTAGGGTTTAATATTTGGGATTTAGGTTACTGAATGTTTGAAATCAGTGTTTCTTTGGTGTTTATTTGCTGTCATGATATGATAGTCATTAGTTGTAGAATAATTTATGGGTTTCAGCTTTCTGATGAGAGTTATCCTTTTTAAACTGATCCTCCTTTGGTAAATCCTTTATGATCGATTGGTTTATTGTTCAAATGTATAACATTAGCTATGTTTTTGCAAACTAGATTAGCTATGGTTTATTCACTTCTAACATTTTTGTCAGGACTAGATTTTTGATGCAACTCTTACATTTTTTTTTATGTCTTTGGTGTTCTTCTGTTTTATGGAATTTTGATGAGAAGAATAGAAGCATTCAAGGTAGGACTAGAGTTTTTTTAAGATCCGTATAGGCCATATGGTGGGCATTGGAACCCGAGGTGGCGAGTATCCACCCGACCTGTGAGTCACGTATCCGAAATTTTGAAATTTTGAGTATTCATCTACCGGTGGGATGAATACGGGTCCATTGACATCGAGAACTCGATCTTCAGTTTTGGTTCGAGTTTCGGCCGATGAGTACCTATACCACGGATAATCCTAGATGAGGGGAGAGAGGGAGAGGGGCGTGGCATGAGGGTGAGAGCTGAGGATATGGCAGTGTCGACAGTCAATGCAGGGTGTGATTTGGGTTGATGCAAGATGCGAAAGGGCTGAGGTACATCTGATTTAAAATCAGAAGTTGCTAGTTTTTTTTTTATAAAAATCCGAACAGAGAAGGAAAGAAAAGAGAGGTGGCGATTCAGGGATTTGACGTCACCTAACCGTGTCCACTCGCCTAACCGTGAGCCCCGCTGGTATCTGTCCCCCACAAGGCCGAGATGAGGTAGTCTGGCTGAGAAACTTGAGGGGGCGAGACCCAAATCTGATACACCTAAAAACTCGGATCCTCGATCAGTGTCAGGCTCTAATATTAGGTGAATCTGTCCAGTGAAAGTTATGCTGTATTGTTGCGTTTTGCTGCTTATCGTTTTCGATTGGAATCTATATTCCAGTTATATTTGATTCGGGATGGGAGTCTTATATGTTTCTATATAGATCCTTGTGTATCACCTTAGAATTAGATAATATCATGTCTGTTCCTGATTAGCTTTCAGTTGAATAGCAGACTCGTTAAGTTCTGAAATTCCTTCGGAGGAGACAACCCCACGTCAAATAGTGAAATTCTGTTGCTTTGGTTTCAGAACCTTTAGGAAGTCTAGTTTACTTTTTGAGTCCCTTGAACTCTGCATTTCTGATCTAGAACTCATACACTGTTTAGATGCTTCCAGAAAATTCTGCTATGATGGTGATAGGCTTCGAGAAAATTTCTCGGTTTTTTCCTTTTCAAACTCATTTTTCCAAAGAGATTGCTGAAGTTTTGGATCTGCATTCTTTGCTCTTGTGAACGATGAGCCCGTGCAGAAGTTTAAACTTTGGCATTGTTGTCAGTTCTTGTTGTTAGGCATCTGGGAATGGTAGACAGATTTGTGTAAGATGATGGAGAAATCAGATTCGTACACTCCTGGGGCCGGGGTTTAACAATGTTACCCGAGGCCTTCGGTTACGAGTCTGGGTTGGTATCCTGAATTTTGTCGGGTACCTGACCTATGCCCATCTCCACTGTTAGCTGTAGCAGCGCAAGTAATGTACGCATTGTACGGTTCTCGGGATACCGAACTTGAATCGCTACAAGCTACAACATCGATTCCCTTGTTGCGCTTTAATACAGTTTGCAGAGAGTGAAACCAAAACTCGTAATTTATAATACCTTGTTTGCCTTATATGCCGGCGATATTTTAACCTAGCAGTCCGATGATTATCTGTAAAAATTTATTTGCAGTTTTGATAGTAAGGATACAGTACACTTGAAGCCGACTAACATATAATCCGCGGATTTCCGCAGGGCCAACTGATGCAGATGACGATGATGGCTACACCAAACATCAACAAAGAGCTTCAGTACCTAAACAAGGAAGACAGGCTACTGCGTTGGCTCCTCGTTAAGCACCGAAATGTTAAAATCGGGAAGGATTATATGAGCGACGTCCATGACGTGAAGACCGAGCTCGGCAAATTTTATGGAGAGTCTTCGGAGGATGAGGAAGACGAGAGCGATGATTTCGAATACGATGAGCTCGAGAACGAAGAGTGGATGAAAAACGTATGAAATAGGGGATGGACCCATTGTACTTTTGGATCGAGCTCAGCAAATCTTTGGGTCGGGTTACAGGCGAATAATCTGCAGTTATCTAAAGACGGTGAAATCTTGATTTCATCCTTTATTGGGTCTTCGTGAAATATTTCGGGCAGATAAATACATGAATTTGAATCCTATGCTCGAGTGCATCAAAGCTCATCAATGGCTGAATCCCGCATTCTCGTGTCCAGAGCTTCGACAACACCTTCGAAGCTCCCAAACTTATCATTCACAACGTCAATCCTGACGCCCAACCTCTCTGCCCCCGCCTCCGTCACCGGCCCATGAGCCGCCGTCACCAGCTGCGGCCGCCTCCGTTTCACCGCCGTCCAGTCCCAACCCATTTCCCTCAATCCCTTCAGCAGACCCTCCACCTCCGCTGTGCTCGTGAACACCACCGCGTCCACGTCATCCACCGCCGCGACCATGGCCTCTGCGCAGGTGGGTCCTACCCACCGAGTCTCGTAGGCGTCAACCCTAATTGGGACCCACCCGGCGATCTCCAGGTCCCGGAGAAACCGCGGAACCACCGGAGGCTCCGTGAGCTCCACCACCGACGGAACCGGGCACAGAATTCTACGACCACGACCCGACCCGAGAGATTCGACCAAACCCGTCGGAGTCGCGATCGAAGGAACAATCACTCTCACTCTATCTTCATCGGAGGAAAACTGGGAGACGAAATCGCGGTCGATCATCGCGGCGTCTCTGCCCAGAGCGGCGAGGACAAAACCCTCGTCGCCGTCGCCGGACGGAGGCAGTATGGGCTTCTGGAGGACGGTGATGGCGGCGGATGCGGCGGAGATAGCGGTGCGGGAGGGAAATGCGATGGCGGAGAGGAGGGAGATAGACGGCGGAGAGAGGTGGCGCGTGAGAGAGATGACGGCGCATGGGGTGATATCGGTGGTGATGGTGGGGCACCAAATCGGCTTATGGCCTTTCTGCGTGAAGAGGTTGGATAGCCGGGAAGCGTAGTTGGGAGGTGTCGTGAAGATGACGGTGAATTTTTCGGCGGCGCCGGCGGAGGAAGAAGGAGGAGCGGCGATCATCACGGTCATGTTTGCGTTCGGCCAATCTTTTTCCGGCGGCTCCTGATTCGGATGAGGTGTTACTACTCAAAAACACTTTGAACATATATATATATATATATACATATATACATATAATCGCATTATTTCGGGGAAAGTTGAAACAAGAAAACTTCCGACAAATATTGAAAACTTTGCAAGTAATTTATTTTAATTCGTGAAATCCTATAGACTGCATACATTTTTATTTAAAAATATAATTAATTCAAATTAAAAATAATCAAATTAAAATCTAAAAATCCATTTTAATATATATTAATTTCTATATGTTTAGTTAAGAAATTAAAATTATAACGCAGTTATTAAAATTTTAATCCGACTTACATCTTGTGTAGTGTTATATAAATATTAAACTAAATAGACAAAATATTTGTGATATATATATATATATATATATATTTGAATTTGATATATTTTTCAAAACAAAACAAAATAAATATTGAAAACCATATTAATCTGGAAGGTGCAGAAGAAATAATAATATTTATATTTTTTCAAAATACGGCATTCCGTCCACTCCATATATTCATTATACGCTAAGAAAACATACCAGAGGGCAGAGGCCCAAATTTGAACAATGACGAATGTTCTTCCTCCATTATCTCCGGCGACCCATCATCGCTTCTCTGCTGCTTGCCGCGCCGGAACTTCGTCTTCTCCGGCGAACTTCTCTCTCCTCTCACGCTCTCCTCTCAGGTCTTTTTTTTTTTTAATTGTTTTCTCCACATTACGCATGAATAAATTTATCAAATTGCTAGTTCTAGGGTTTCTGGTTTGTTAACAATTCGTGAATCGCGAAGGTATGCGGTGCTCGGCGCTGGTTTTGCTGGACTCTCTGTTGCTTGGCACCTGCTTAAGGTATTCTCTTCTTTTCTACTCGCCATGCTCGCTGCATTTTTTTAAGGACATGTTAGCTTGGTTAAGGGCTTCTGCTTTGTGTCTGGAGCTCCCAAAATGTTGAATTTGTATCTTTTCATGTCTGGTGAAAAGGTAGTTCGAGTTGGTAGACCTTGTCTTGGACTGTGACCCACTGAAAATCTTTGCACTTTTGTGCTAATTGGTTACCTTGGATTGTATGTTGGCTCTGATTTGCTAACAAGAAATCGGTGAGACTGAAGCAAGAAGTTCCCAGTAGGATTTTGGTTTTTAGCCCATCTTATACAAATTGTGATTACATGCTACATAACATCTCTGTGGGTAAGTGTGAGCAAGTGTTGTTTCTTCCTTAACCTAGCTGGAAGCCTGGAACTAATGTTGCAGGGCAGTCCCAAGGAGCTGGAGTTAAGTGTTGACATATATGATGAAGTTGGGATAGGAGGTGGGGCATCTGGAATTTCTGGGGGACTTCTCCATCCGTATTCTCCGAAAGGTAGATGTTCTGTTTCAGCATTTCAATTGTTGGAGTGGAGACAATAATGCTGAACCTTTTGGTAGCTGATGCTTTGACTTGAAGATTGTTAGTTCTTTCATATGTCTCTCTTCACGGGGTTTGAACTTCTGTGTTGAGACAGTTCCAATGGAAGGGATTCATCATATTGTTTTATGACTAGTTTCTTAAGGTTTTTATTTTCTGTAGGTAAACTTCTTTGGCATGGTTCTGAGTGTTGGAAAGAGT